TATAATAATATTGCTGGTCTGATAAAAATGCACTTGGTGGTTGCCTGTCTGTCAAACATGGACTGATTCAAAATAATTTTTAATAATAAATAATCCTTGAAATCAGGTGCCCAATAACAGGAGCAAAAGACTGGTGGACATTTTTGTGTCAACATGAGTGCAGTTGGATCAATAAAGAAATAGAAGCCGTTTTTCCTCTCAGTGGCCAACCTTCTTTTTTTTACTGGGAAAATGAAAATGCAGCAAACTAATGGGCCGATTAGGAGGAATATGAGACAAACACGTTTCTTCAAATGATTTTCTTCATCCAAGGAAGCACAACAGGAGAGATGTCTTTTTATGGGGGGGATTTCTAACCTTAGGAACTACTGCAATGCAGCCCTGGTGTTTTTTCTCTTTATCAAAACTACTTATAAGTAACAAATAACATACTTCTACATATCATTACAACAATACATTTTCTTTTATAGTTGCATTTCACTTCCTTATGCTTGTTGTCAATGCTATGTGACAGCTAGAATGTCTTGATTCTCTTCTTAATAAAGTGGTGGGCATTGTTTCATCAACAGCTTCACAGCTGTGGTCTGTCATTCAAATGCAGGATTCATGTTGTACTGTAAGTAGTATGTTTTCCTTTATTTTAAAATATACTGGCATATAAATAACAAGGAGTAAAAAATGAGAAGTGAGGGTCAGCCTTCATAGTTGTTTTGTCGGGAGGTTAGTTACAAAAAAAAGGTATAATTTCATTTAAAACACCTACAGCCAAATAAAAACTTTGAAAACCTGGATGAACTCCAACAGCCTCATAAACCTTGGTATTGGGTCGAGATAAAATAAAAATCAGTGGCAAAATGTCTTTTGAGCAGTAAAGTTTGTACTAGGGTTAGATTACATGTGTGTATTTGTATAAAAGAGTAAAACACACACCACCCTAGGACAAACCTGAGCCATTTTTTTGTTCACCTTGACTGGAGATTTTGGCAGCTGACTACTTCAGGACGACAGTTCCTGTCTGTTGCTGCAGGTCTGTCTGTAGTCTCTCTCCTTCACAGATGCCATTTCATCAAGTATTCTCAGCCGAACATCCTCATCCACCGTCATCTCTAGAGTCACCTCCTTAAACACCTTACAGACTGACACCTGTGACAGACATCGACATTCAGTCAATTGTTTTGTCGGGGGTTGGACTTATTTGATTAACATGAAAACGACTCTCCCCAAAAACAATAACAACAAAGAAAATATTAAAACAACGACACCCTTACTGTACACTAACTTATTACCTCTTTAAAGTTGAGTTTCTTGAACATGAGGATGCTCACTTCGTTGCTTAGCCCAATTTTTGCCTGAAATGTTTTGATCCCGAGTTTGGCGACTCCTAGTGTAAGACAGCAAAATTGTGGTGTGTTCGAGTTTAAAGAATAACATTTAATTTGACTTTCCTTAAAAATACTTAAAAGCTGCTCACCGTAGAACATCATCATTCTTGTCACCTCCTTACCGAAACCTCTCCCTCTGTAACTGGGTTCTGAAGAGAACATCGGCAGAATCTCAGTGTCAGAACTCTTATGTCTGCTTTCTGCTAACTCAAGGGCAGATTCAGGATCCAGCCTTCACCTGCAATCATCACCTCCAGCTCAGCCAATGTTGGGTCTGTGGGGTCAGTGAGAAAGATATTTACATCTCCCAGCATGCATTGCTCCTCTTCTACACTGGGGTCTGCCCACTGCTGCTTGTCCAGGATGATGAAGGTGCACTCTAGAAAGAAGATGGGGGAAAAAACCTGTTAAAAAATGACTGTTAAATAAGGTAAATATCTGTGAGCATTACAGGAACATGACTTCTTACTGTCACTGTCTTCCCTCCAGCTCCGCTGCATGTCGTACTCCTGGTCTAAGGTCAGCGGCTCTGAAGCTGTCAGCTGCTGCAGCTCCACAGATTTCATCCACTCATGATACCTGAGAGTAAATGTGAGTGGGAAAATACAGGAACTGTAGCTTATCTTAGTTAACGCCCAGTTACATTTGTCAAGTAAATCATCAGTACATCATAGCTCGCATTATTTGTCTCCAGTTGAAGCCACATTCTCTGAACAACTACGATCACAAACAATTGTTTTATCTTTACATCTCTTTACGTCCACAGCCCTTAAAATTTCACAACCACGTCACCACATTTTAATGGGTTTTAGCGCCACCTATTGATGAAATGCTGCAAAAAATAAGCGTTTATTTAGACAAGCAAAACGATACTTAGTAAGTGAATTAATCATCTTAATTAATGTAATTCAGCGAGTTTTGTAAAGATTTACAACTCCATAAGATGCACTGAGATATTTTTCATAATGCGTGTTAAATAGGAAAAGTAAAATAAAAATAATATGACGTGCATTTTAGATACACTCTCATCTACAAGTATTGTAGCCGCATTCTACTACCGTTTATTGCATTAAACCAGACCCAGTTATTACACGAAGGTCAAATCAGAACAACAAATTAACACCACGTCAGTGGACTGTGGGGGGAAGTAAAGGTAAGATGCCAAGGTTAATGTGTGGCATTTTTCTTTACAACAGATTGTTTTACCAACAGAGTCTGAAGAAACAAATATTTGAACGATCGTTACCTTGGTACATGCTGTGCATTATACGGTACCAGGACGACTCTGTGTCCCTCTAATAAAGTGTTCTCATTTATCTTCATGGCGTCTTTAATGTACTCAAATAAAGAAAATCACACAAATTGTTCAAGACATGGCAAAGCATCCATATGTTGTTCTCACGTTTCCTTATTTCGCTCTCTGCTCCTAACTGCTGTTGTAGTCACAGACATAACGGTTGATTTCGCCACCCTCTGGCTTGGAGTACTAACTGCATCTAAAAGTAAGGTTTAATATTATGTTGTACAAGGTAGACTTTAGCTGGAATTTAAACATTTAAACACTCAGCAAAACAAATTTAGAGTTTTAGGGGAGGTATCTCAATTTTTTCAATTATTATTAATTGGGGCGGTGGGGGTAGTTAACTGCACTGTTTACTGAAAAAACGTTTGATAACTCTTTACCTTAAGGTAATTACCTTGAATCTGCAGACATATTGTTACCACCCTATTGGTGTGCATGCATGAATAAAGAAAATTCAAATATAATACACTCTTAAATCAACTGGACATCTAAAAAAATCTTACAATAGTCACTTTAGTTCAATTGTAATAGACAAAAAATAAAAAGCAACATACACATTATTATCAATCACTTTAAAGACAGCAATAATGACGCAGTTCCTTTTTGGGGCTTTAATCTATTGTGAATAAATGATCATTTATTATTATTATTTGTTTGGAGGTATTGACTATATTTTGTTTTTGATTGTTATGTGTTTTGAAATGTTAGGTGGCTCTGCTCAGTCTGTGCCACTGCTCCACTGTCTCCTGCGGCCTGTTGACCATGTCCATCCAGTGCTGAAGCTGTGGGCCCTTAGCGTACATGAAGGGTCCTAGAACCAGATCTCCCAGCAAGAGTGGAGCCTCTGTGTTGGAAATGACCAATGTACAAAACATGTTGACCTTTTGACATGTGACATGAGTTTATTTACATTTTTAACCAAGGTCTGATTTTGTTTTTGTTTGTTTGACATTCATTTTAGTTAGGTTTTAAAAGCAGTGGTTTTATCCTTTACCTGTGTTGATATAATGAGGCTGCTGCAGCTCAAACCTCAGACAGGCCTCATCTAAGTGCTGTGAGCGAAGTTTAAAGGCCATCCTGTGGTCAAAGCAGGGGTCATTCTCTCCTTTCACCACACTGCTGCGCTTCATCTTCACCACCTGAGTGTGTATCTGCAAGCTCACCTGGACACACACACCTGGGTGACACAAGATATTTAACTATCTATTGTCTAAATTAGGATATAATGTGTCTGATGAAAACGTTTCTACCTGTATCTGTGAGCACCTGAAGCCCCCGTGTTCCCAAAACCCCCACAGAGAGGCGCTGCTGAGTTGGACTGTAGCTCAGTGATACCTGCACATCTCCCTGCTCCGAGTACTAAGATGATGAAACAGTACAATCAAGTACTGACTTTTCATATACAGTGTGTGTGTGTGTGTGTGTGTGTGTGTGTGTGTGTGTACCTTTGTGTCATCTGCTCTGTCGAGATCTTTCCACAGAACCCGTCCACCCTGACTAAGCTCACCCTCAAGAGGAAACAGGATTTTGCCCACAGGAAGTCGTTTGCAATCTTGCTCCACACTCAGCACACACACACTCAGGGTGCTCCGAGGGACACACACTGCTGACACCTGCAGAATACAGGGACAGTTGTCCACCACAATGAATGGATGGATCTATGGAAACCACTGGGTCAGAATCTGTGATGGACTTTGAATATCTCCAAACATTCCTGATTTCTCACCTGGAAAATGAAGCAGTCGCTGAATTCCGGATCAGGGCCCGTGCCCCGGGCCTTGGCCTGTCTTGGCCGCCGGTCATCAGGGAGAAGCCTCAGCTCCACCAGGGTAACGTTGCGGTGAAAGCGTGGGGGGAGGTTACCCAAGCGGAACAGCGTGACCATGAGCTGCTCTCCACTGTGTCTGTACTCCACAGAGAAGCACAGGCGGGTGGCCATGCCGGGCGGAGGAGCGACCACCTCCTTCAGGGGAGAAGAAGAGTACAGGCCGGCGTGGACCGTTCCCACTGGATACCAGCCTGGAGGAGTTGTAGATCAACACAGATACAAATGATAATCTGCAGATATTTGGGAAGATTGTTTTAAAGTTCTCCGTCTCCCACAGCACTGCAGCCTTCTTAGAACAACATGTTCTGACTTGTTACCTTCATCTGGGTCAAGGTGTGAAGACCAAGGCCAGAATCACACACACACACACAACACACAACTCTAACCTAACCAGAGAGACGTGTGCTGTGACAGCTGTGTTATATAGGAAGAAGTAGTAGTTGAGATTTCTTTAGCAGCTATGGTTCATCCATTCAAAGATTATATTCAGGTACATAGAAAAGCAGTAACTCACTCCTCACAGAGAGTGACCCACGATGTGCTAATATGTCCTGCTGAGTCTCCACCTTCATCTCTGTCTCGTTCTCCTCCATTTCCAGATCACTCTGCTTGTGTGTTGTTAAACGAGGAGGCAGCGTGAAAGGAATCTCTCCGGGCCTTTCAGACAGAGAGAGATACTCTTAACTGGACTCCAGCTAGTGATGTCATTGTTATTACATGGGGAAACATTATGAGTCAGAACCAGCAGTGTCTCTTCAACATGAGTTGTGACTTACGTGGTCCAGGTGCACTGTGAGACCAGAATGACTGGTGCAGAGCATGCTGGGACTGAGGGCACCGGGGAGGACAGCTCCTCGTACTGACCCTGATTTTTCCTCTTCCTCCACAGATAACACAACATCAGACTGAGGAGCAGCAGCGACAGGAAGCCCAGAGACAGACCAGCGGACAGCAGTAACACCTGCTCTGAAACAGGTGATTGAAGGAAAGGTCAAAGGTAAGAAGAAGAAGTGAAGACATATTTATTTTTTTACTTACCTGCCATTTTGTGAACAGAAAGATTTTTCTTTTTGTAAGCTCTCACACAGGATGGTTGTCCAAATCTGAAGACGTTTCAGATTCTGGAACGACAGTAGAAAAAGGCGTTGGTCTCTGTTGGTTAGGGTACGTTAGTGTGTGTGACACAGCTGCCTGGTTCTCAGTGTGTCATACTCTTATCTGGCTGAAGAAAAGCTAACTTAGCTTTTAAAAAACCACACCACCAGGGTTTAGAACAATCATGACTAAATACCTTTAAAGTAGAGTACATTCAGGAAACACAGATTTGGAGCACGTCAAAGAATTAAGTTAAGAATTCATATACATTAACCGTATGTCAATCTTTTAAACAGTTGGTTAAAATAATAAAGTTAATTTGCATGTTGTTGTCAAAGAAGCATTTCTATCTTTTTGAAAGTGTGTTTTATTTTGTTGCTGCGGAAAGAAGTCAGAATCATATCTTGGGCCTTTTTGTTGTTTTTCTGAATGCTGTTAGTTGGAAATACATTTTTTTCATTTTTCACATTTCCATTTTTGCACCTGAGATGTTTCTTATTTTCTAATTCATGATGATCTAGAGTGCTGGGCGGTCAAAGTGTAAACCTCATAATAAAAATAACTCCTGTCCACTGTCCTTAACTGGACTGAGATAAAAATGCTCATTATCCCTGAGGTGACTTACACACACTCACACACACACACACACTGGTCAGATATTGGAAGGCAGCTAACAGGATGAAGGTTAATCCTCCAGGATGAGGACAAAGTCAAAGCCCTTCTGTCATGCACGCACCTACACACCAACGCAGTGCTGCCACAGGACGACAGCCCTGACTGTGGTTCTGACAGCTGCTCATGTCAAAAACAGTGAGTATAGAAGAGTACCTTTTTTAGATTGTCAGGACAAACTCTGCAGATTATCCTCTTAGGAAGTGAGAAAAAGAGAGTGGCAAAAATAATGGGAGGAAAGAGAGACAGTGGTTCTCTGGAGGGCAAAACAGGACAGAAGCCGTGATCTTTAAGGTAAGACCTCTGCCCTCTGTACGTGTGTGTGTGTGTGTTCATGCACTGTAATATTAACAAGGAAGTGTTCATAATATGTGCTGCCAAGTGACTGTGTATGTCACTGTATACTATACTTATATACTTATACACACTCATCTTGTCTACTGTTTGTATGTTGAAACATGTTTAACAGTCAGTTTGGGACACTTTAAAATAAATGTTAAAATAAATCCATATAATGTGTTTCCATGTTTTTTCCATGCAATTTGTAGGCCTCCCTAATGTATCTCCCAAAACAAAATATTGTTTTCCCTTTCCTGTTTCCTCAGTCTGTGTAGCCCAGTGGGTTATTGAAGAGTCCACAGTGATTAAGTCGTGGTTTGACATTAAGGTGCTTTGTCTCCACAGGTTGTTTCTGACATGGCGAAGCCCGCTCGCCCTGTGTCTGAGAGCTACGCCCCGGTCTGCTGCTCACTCAGTCACTCTCTCTCTAACTCCAGTAAAACTGGGATTGTGGTACAGGATGATGATGATGATGATGATGAACATTCCCCCATCTTCTCCATCTCCAAGAGCTCCATGGATGTCGTCATGGCAACCGGTCCTCCGCACGAGAGGGACCCAGCCTGGACTCGGCTGAAGATTAAACGCAGCTCCAGCACCAACACACACTCTGAGCCGAATGCTGTGATTCTTCAACAGCTGCGTGTGCACATGAGGCCAGGGGTCAGATCCACCAACAGTCCGTACTTAGCGGTCACACCTGCAACCCTGGACGTGCACGGTCTGCCTCTGCCTCGTGAGCCAAAGTCTCCAAATGAACAGTGTTGGAGCGACTGCAGCAGCAGAAGAGTCCTGGGAACAGTAGTGCAGAGAGGAAGGTCTTCACGGCCCACAAGTCTGACCCAGGAGGTCTGTCACCCATCTGCCCCAAACTCTCCATCAGCCACACCCTCTGCCCTCCAAAGACCTAGTGATGCAGGTGTGGACTTCTCAAATTCAAATCTTCCAGAAGACTTTGAAGTTGATTCTTCACCTCAACCCACTCCATCACTGTCACCCCTGCACAGCAGCAGACAGCAGGATGGAAGATTCCTGGAGAAACACCTGCTGGAAAATAAAGCAGCATCAGATGTTGGGCACCTTGTTGATGAACAGTCACATGATTCTGAAGGCCCACCGCTGTTAGACGACACAGAAGAGGAGAGCTTAGAGCCGCAGTGCTGCTGCTCACAGCGTCTTCCTCCAGCAGAGAGTCCAGGATCAGGAGGAAACGGAGCCTCGGTCTGTTACCTGGAGCTGCCACAGCAGCATGAGGAGAAGAATAACCCCGGGCACGGAGTCTGCTGCAGGTGCAGCCACAACTGCACCAGTGTCACTTCAAAGTCACCAATAGTGAGGCTGTTTCGGGAGGAAGGCACCATGACGTCACAGAACAAACTGGTCAATGCTGAGGTGCAGACCGTCTCTCCTATTGGCTCCTGGTGGGACCTCAGGAGGAACATCTCCACCTGCAGCATGGGGTCACATTCCATCTTGGGCTCGCCTCCTGGATCCAGGCTGAACCTGAGGTTTTCAGTGGGGTCACACTCTAATTTGGTATCACCCTCCTCCAGCATGTTTAAAATCAGTAGTTTGGAAGAGGAGCAGAGACACGGAGAGTTCCACCAGGAGAAGAAGAAGAGATCATGTCTGAAGATGCTGGACAAGGACGACCTGGGCAGGAGAAGCAGCATGAAGCAGGTCCAGTGGGATGAGGACGGGTTGACATGGGACATTCACGGAGCATCTGTGGACCCCGAGGTGCTGAGCACTGCCATACAGAGACACCTGGAGCTCAGTCCAGACCCACCGCTGAGAAAGTCCTCCAAGAAGACCAAAGCTCCAAAACCACCGCTAACGTCAAATGTAGTGAAAGCCGAGGCTCCTGAGCTGAAGGCAGATGTTATGATTAATACTTCGTTCTGTGTGATGCACAGTGAGGTGGGGCAGGACAGAGGAGGTAAGGAGGAGGAAACACCAGATGTTCCTTGCAGAGTTAGCAGAGCTGAGGGGGAAAATGTGAGAGAGGAAGAGGATGAGGTTTACACAGAGGAAGGAATCAGCCGTCTGAAATCTCACTCCAATGAGAGTCACAGTCAGAGGAGAAGTGTGATGAGAAGTGTGTCAGGCTGGTGCGGAGGCTGCCGGAGGGAGAAGCACTGATGTTGTTGTTGATGATTCTGAGGTTTTCATCAAACAAACACAAAGGTGTGAATGTGTTTTCTTTAGGTTGTACTGTTCACAGTGATGAACAGATTCAGCTGTCAGCAACCAACAACGTATCTGTTCATGCAGACGTTATGAATTCAAACGTTTTTTTTTCTTGAACTCACTTTAGTGAGTGTGGTATATTTTTGTTGATTTAAAGAATGATAAATAAATTGAAAAAAAATGGAAAATACATATTCTAATAACAAATATTATAGCAAACAAAAAGTAAAATTGGCAAGAACTTAACTTGAATTTCAGCAAAATCAATGTATTTAAAAAATGGCCCTTAAAACATTTCCACATTTCAAAAAAATTCTATGAAAGTAACCATAAGTAGAAAAAAAATGACAAAAGATAGCAAAAAACTATGACATTTACAGCAGAAAAATAGCTATTTATATGATAATTAGGAGCTAGCTTGAATAACTAGGAATGCTAGTTTAGGTAAGCTAAAAATGGCTGGAAAAAGGCTAAAAGCTAGCAAAACCTGTTGTTAAAAGTCAAGACAAAATGTTGGAGAAAGTTGAAAGATAGTAATAGAGCATAGTTAGATATCAAAGGTAAAGGTCGTGGTCAGGGTCAGGGTCAGGGTCAGGGCACTGCTACTGTACGTGTACATGTGGGACACGTGACATGGTGTGATGTTTGGTGTGGGACAGTATCCTGTGTGTACATTAGTGTACTGTGAGTATGTGAAAGTGCTGATGGCTCACCACAGTTGACTCTCAGCTGCAGCAGAACAGTCCAGCACTCAGCCTTTGTTTTACTGCCACCTATTGTCCCTGTTGTCAGGCTGTTTGTGCACAGCTATAAATGTAAACAGCTTTGTACGTGTACATAAACCTGCTGCCTGGTATAAATAGCATGGGTGTGTGTGCTGGCCGCGGACTGTGTGGATGACGATGGCTGTACCTGGACCTCCTCTGCTTCTTCTCCTGGCTCTGCTGCTGCCGCTGCTGCTGAGCATGGCACCACTGCCTGCAGCTGCTTATAAAATTACACCAGGACGGCAACCGCAGCACAAAATCCTCCACCTGGGTGAGAACGTAGACACAAACAAAGACACTTTTTAAAAAAATGTTTTAAAAAATACATTGATGATATTGATCTCTATGTTTTGTGGCTCCTTTTTGTCTAGACTGGCCCAAAGACTGTGGTATGGCCCACTTCAAACCCAACATGGTTGAAAGAATTGTATCAGGAAACGAGGCCAGACCTCACTCCTGGCCGTGGCAGGTCTCTCTGCAGGTAAAACTGTCAGTTTAATACTACAATACATCATGAAACAATCGTGTACAGTAGGTTTCTTCTATAGATGTACAAGTACAGTGTGTAAAAAACTACTGGACAGTTCCACCTTAAATCATCTGATACAAATGGTTCAAATCTGTCTTAGATTTAAAGAATCTAAGTGAAGCACAGATTAACCTTCCAAGGTGAGGAGAGGGTAAACTTCTTTCTATCTAAGACAGAAGAGACTGACGTCCAGGTTCTCTGCCCTAGGTCCGACCCCGGGGAAGTAAACATTACATCCATGTCTGCGGAGGAACTCTCATCCACAAGAACTGGGTCCTAACTGCAGCTCACTGCTTTCAAAAGTAATTAAAAATCACCAATGACTTGAAATGCTAAAAAAGGTAGTATATTATTTCCAGCAGTATTTACAATGAGTGATTCCTCAGAGGCAAAGCTGAGGATGCTGGGAGCTGGAGGATCCTTCTGGGGAAGCACCGTCTGAAACGTTCAGAGATGGCAGAGAGGATTTTCCCAGTGAAGAGAATCTACAGACATGAGAACTTCCGTTACCCAGCTCACACCGAGCTGGACTATGACATCGCCCTGGTGAAGGCTGCCAAAGATATCCTGCCTTCAAATTACATCCGCTACGCCTGCCTGCCACACAAGCAGACCAGCCTCAAACCGGGACACTACTGCTGGGTCACAGGCTGGGGAGACACCCGAGGTATGTGGAGCACCAGGGGTGTTTTTATACTAGCCCGTTCAGTTTCCAACTGATAATTGTGCTGAGTCAACAGGTGGGAAAGAAAACGTGTCCCTGGCCGAGGCTCTGAATCAAGCCCGTCTCCCCATCATCGACTTCACGACCTGTAAGCAAAAGAAATTTTGGGGGGATCGTGTCCAGGATTCAATGATCTGTGCTGGGTTCAAGGACACTGGAGATCCTCCTGCTGCCTGTCAGGTAAGACTGATGACAGTCTGCAAATGAACCAACACTGGACTTAATCATTGGGCTGATACTTACAGGTATAAATCCAGAAGGAAATACAATTTATATTTTAGTCGAGATTTTCTTTTCCAACTATTACTGTGCTGCCTTTAAGCAATTTCTGTGTTAACCTGGAGATTTTGTTTTTCTAATTCTGGGTTGACCTTAATGTAATCTAAATTTCTAAATCTAAGAGTTGAAATTCGATCTAATTTAACACCACTCCTGGCTGCCATAGCTATATAATTGGCTGGTTATCATTTCTGCTCTTTTGTAGCATTTTGACAACTTTTTAAAAACAATTTATATCTAATTTCCACACATTTTTACTTTTCATTTTCATAATTTTTGCTATTTTCAATTGTATTTTTGGTTGGAGATGCAAAGATTTAGCAATGTCTAAAATGTTCAGCTGAATCCCAGATAATTTCAGACGTTGCCTGGACAAAGCCACCACACATGTCTAATTTTGGCCTGTCCTGCCTCTTTTTTTCCCAGGGAGACTCTGGTGGTCCTTTGCTCTGTCAGCTGGGGCGTGACCGCTGGGAGGTGCACGGTGTGGTGAGCTTTGGTCCCATAGGCTGCACCGTGGAGAACAAACCCAGCGTGTTCACTCGCACCGCTGCCTACATCCCGTGGATAGAGGCCACACGCATCAGGGACTTCTTCCTGCACTAAGCGGATCAAGAACACATTAAAAAGAATATCTGCTCTGTTTAGTGTTCAGTATCTCCAGCCCAAAACCAAACTGTTTTTAGTCCCGATCACATCTGCAATCATTTGTTTTTATCTTTCGGTAGTTTACAATTCAACCATTCATTCTTGAGTTGTGTAAAAGAATAAATTATCCTCAATGTGATGAATAAGAATTGATTTGCCAACAGAAAAACTGATAAATTTCCTCTTAATACTAACATTTGATTCAACAGAGAATCTTGTCATTCATGACTTACCAATGAAGTATTTAAATGATCTTTGATCATTTCATTGTGGGAGAATTTCTCTTCAACAACTGATACAAAGTGACTTATTATTTTTCTATTGTTTTTATTCTATATAAGATCTAAAAAAAGTTTAGGATGCTTTCTTATCACTGGTCATTACTGGAATTTGGCACATTTTCTTATCATTATTTTTATTTAATTTCCATTCATTAAATTCCCCAGGATTTTATTCTGATTCTTGAGTTGTTCCTTGAAGACAGTATCAAGATTAGGAGAAACTCTGTCGCTATTTTAGGACTTTGTCACATCAGCAATGCACAAGTTGTGGCTGAAGACAAACCTTCTTCTGTGTCTACGTCAGGCATGTCCACACTATTTTTGAAAGGGCCGTGTGGCTGCAGGTTTCTGATCCAACCGACCCAGAGCACACTGACTGAACAATCAACTGCCTAAAGACTCAGATCCGTTGATTAAATGAGCCAAGTCAGGTGAGCTGCTGTTTGATTGGAACAAAAACCTGCAGCCACAGCGGCCCCTTGTGGAACTGTTTGGTCTGGTCCACCTATACAACAATATAGCTCAGGGAATTCCTCTGACAATGGTGCTGGAGAAGTGTGTTGGAATGACGGACGTTTCTAGACAATTACAAAAAAGAAAAGAAAACAATGTTAAAAAAGTGATGTCACGAAAGGTCGATGTTGCAACGTATCACATCACAAAACATGTTCTCAAAATGCCTTTTTGTTGTAGTCACTTTTAATATGGTGTGATTTATGAAAACAGTACCAGCATACACTTCCAGTAGAACTTGACACCGATTTCTTCTTGCAGTGACAGACGCCAATGCACATTACTTCAATAAATACAAGAGCAGAATTACCCATCAGGCTATTTTCTGTGTGTTTGTCTTTAATAAAACTCTGACAACAGTCTTTCAGTCCAAAGTCACAACAACACTCCCCTGATGCCACCAACATTATAACAGCTCCCTTCGTCCAATCAGTGTCATGGTTCAGATATTGTAGGAAACACCAGTGAGCTCCGTCTCCTCGGCGTTCCTGTTAATGACCAAACCAGTGACAGGAACTTTTCTTAGGCCATTTTGTGATTGTTGAAACCCTGACCATCAGATTAATGTAGTCCACAATTTCAGAATTTATTTTGTCCAGACAGTTTTCAAATCCTTGAATGCTTCAGGACAGGATGGGTGCTAATGGGTGGAAGGCAACCAAGTGGAGCCACTTTACACTTTGGGGGAAATCTGCTGCTTACCGTAAATGCTGTGTCCTGACAAAAATATATTTGGCCCTAATATAAAAGCAGAAGCGTGGGGGAAACACTAGTACAGGCGAGAGGAGGCGGAGGAGGACGAGTTGGTGATGTGGTCCCAGTTGTTGTAGAGAGCATAGGCACTGGATAAGGCTAAGCCCACCAGACCTCCACGGGCTACACCCTTTAATCCACCTGTAACCACACAACACACAACAATGTCAATGAATAATAATAATTGTGATGAATGTAGGGTTTAACTAAAATATTCATCAGCTATTTATGTTGGCAGTACGCAGGCAAACACTGAGCTGTAGTTTCAACTTATTACACACGTTTTCAGTTTGTTACATGTGCGGCTTTGTGCTAATAACTGAACACCTGTACGTGACACTTCAAATAAATACAGAACTTCTTCAGGTGTGAGGATGGGGGACATGTCTGAGTGTAACTTTGGACTTGGTTCAACTATAAACTCCTGAACACCTCTCCAGCCTGAAATCCAATGGAACTACTGTTTCCTCATGGAGTGAGAAAGAGAAAAAGTTCTTTGTTTTGTGCGACTTCAATGAGCTTTAACCCATAAATCTTATGAAATTCGTTTGAAAAAGACAGATATGAACAGATAAGGAACAGAGAAAATGCTCCACCACTAGTATTGAAAACCAAAACAAAACGTACCTGCTGATTTGAAGAGCATCCCCGTTAATGTCCCAGCAGCCACTGTGTTGAGGTCGTCCTCTGCTCCTCTCGCTTTTTCAAACACTACACCGAAAGCACTATACAACAAAGCTGCAACGGTAGAGAGAGATTCTTTAAAGATTTGCTGTAAAAAGATTAATTATTGCAGACCCATACACGCTGCAGTTCAAATGCTCTCTTCCAGGTCCACTGACTTACCAACAGAACCTAATGTGTTGGCCCAAGATGCACCCTGTCTGGTCACCATGTTAATAATCCTGAAGAATGAAAATAAAAAGATTTCAAATGACATATAACATATTGTATATTAGCAGAAATAACAAGACATATGACATATTGTATATTAGCAGAAATAACAAGAGTAACTTTGACTGTACTCACTGTACATTACGAGGTTTGGACCAGGCCATGTCTCTGGTCTCTTTGATGCCCATTCTAAGACCATTAAAAGCCCCAAATGTTGCTCCTGTTGCCCAGACAAACAGAATTAGTTGGTGAGAGATTATCCATAAACATGTAGTTACAAAGTACTGCAAATTTGATCATCTTGAAAAAGTCCTGACATCATGATGATTCAGATCTTGTTATTCACAAATTTTGTGATGCAGTTGTGACATAAAAGCTAACTAGGAGACTTACGTTTTCTCGCACAAAAATATAAACCATTATTTGACAGACTTGTGCACCAGGGCTTGTTTCACTTGCACTTACACAGATATTTTTTAAATATTATGAAGATTTACATACCGGTCATACAAGATCCGCCGATAGTGAAGAAGGCTAGTTCAAACCTCCCTCTGGTTTTGTTGGCGCCTGTGGGTAAAATGAACTCATCTGTGTCCTATAAACAAAACAACAATAACAACAACATAACAAACTGTTAGTGTAGAAAACAAACGTAGGAATAAAAATATATCTTCAACTGAACCGGGTCATACCTGAGCAAGATAGCGTGGGTCGACATTAAGGTATGGTGACAGAGGGCTCATTCCTGTCACTGAAAAAACATAAAACACCGAGTATTCATCTGACAATATTTTCATATTCCTTGACATCTTTAAGGGAGTTTCAGCTTTACTACCCATAAACTGTATAAGTATTTCAGTGAAACACTTACAAGAAACACCGGCGAGGTCATTGTTGGAGTATCCAGGCGAACCGCCTCCAAAAAGGCTTCCAAGACCTGATTTGACTCCACCTGATCCTTGTGAGTTGTTGTCCATGGTTGAAGACCGAGGATACCTGGACAATTCTGGGGTCAGGAAGAGACTATCCCTCGAGGTAGCTAGCTGAGATAACGTTAGCTATGTCGGAACAGCCAAAATCTAAAATAAAATGATGAAAAATGACGTAATCTACCACTTCCGATGTCTCTTGCCAACACATCAGAAGTGTTTAATTCTGGTAATAAACTAATGTTCAATGACGTTTTAGTCTTAGTTCGTTTACAGATCGTCTTTACATCATGTATCTGACCTCCAGAAACACGCTGTACTAGGAAGTGACGACAGGCGCCGTCATGTACGTGATTACGTCACAAAATCGGAAAAGGAAATACATTTTCATTTTGTAGTTTTGTCACAATTTGTCCTTTAGTAACGGCAGTAGTCAATGTATAACGTAGATACATCAACGATAATATCTAAGTATAGTAAAGTAACAGAAATATACGTTTTTTTAAGTTGTTATTCTTTTACTGAAACAGAAATTTGATAAACATGATAAGTAACATATGTCATTTGTTATTTTGAAATTTGACTCAGAATAATTCATAATAATTACCACCAAAACAGCCACACCTGCTAATTTATAAAACTCTTATTTATATTTATATATCTTATTTAGGCAACACAACCAACTTCATAAAGAGTAACTAGATAATAAATTAATTTAAATTCAAGGAAATCAATAATAAACAAAATCAATTCATACTGATTTTGTTTGATAGTAGACACACACATTATTATATGTTTAACCTGTAATTTCTTATATTTACCAGATTAAAAGCCTTTAATTTCCATGTGTCCCTTTTGAATTTACTTTACTCCTCCCTGCAAGACAGTAATAATGGGCTCAGAGGTCAAAAGCTTAAACCTTCTTTTTTGGGGGCATGTTTTGAAGTGATTTCCTGTCTCCCCGTGTTTTCAACTCACCATTTGTGTTAGCTGCTTGCTTGTCACCTACTGTTTTCTACTGCTCACCTTGTAAAGCTACTCATGCAGATGAAAAGAGCAGACGTACTCACCAGCTTCGGAGGGGGGCAGCAGAGAGCTGATAGACAAGAACCAGACAGGGTCAACCCCGTTAGATCTGGTGCACCTCGGTCCTCATTCTAATTAGTCCTGATTTAATTGTCTCATTTAGTTAAATCTGTTCCCAGGCTTTTCAGAGAGATGTAATGCCTGATTTGCCTGATACAGCTTGCATTAATCAAAGTAAGTGGGTTAAAGTCTACTGTTAATTACTTCCAAATGACAGTTGAGAATCTGGGAATGAAGGTCAATCTATTTTTCATGCCTTTTGGATTTTTACCATTTGATGTGCAAGGAGAGACATGGCCACATACATGCACACGTACATTTATGCCGCCCTAACCCTGGCCATTTGCTGCCAGTCAAAGGCAGAGAAGCAGTGAAGGAATGTAGTTTGTTGAATTTTACAAATAACAGAGCATCTTATTTGGATTCCTCCATTGTATACGTGTATTCAGAAGGGGCCAAGTGGAACGATGAAGTTTGCCATTGTCGCCCAGTGTGGGTGTTTTCAGACTCTCTGGCATGATCTGTGAGTTAGTGTTCTCTGTGTTACTGCCCAGTGTGCCCACTGTCTTTCCCACAATGCTCCATTCAGCTCTGGGCCTCTCTCTCTCTCTCTCACTCTCTCTCTCTCTATCCACCATCCCTTCCCATTCCGTCCCCAACTCAACCTTCTCTATCCTCACTTCTCTATCTCTCAAACTGACCCACCACCCCTTTTGTGCCTCTGGCTAGTCATCACCACCACCTTCATCCTCATCATCACGTTGTTGGGCTGCAGACCAGATTCTCAGTTGTGGTATAAAATAGCCATGATGTCACCTTACTTGTCTTTTTCAGCAACTCTCCTTCCTCGCCTCTGCCTTCCTCTCTCTGTCCCTCTTTTCTGTCTCTCTGAGCTCCCAAACACAAAAGACAGAGAGGCCACGACAGGACCCCAGTGTATGCTGGTTGTCAGGGAGACAAGGAGGCAGTGTTGGGTCTTTAAACTCCCTCGGAGGGGTGTGTGGAGTTAGGGGGAGTTGGCCTTATTTACATGGGAAGAGGGACTTGAAATAAAACTTTGGAGACGTTTCCTTGCAGCTTATAGGACCCCACCATAGTTACCGGTGTAAAATCATTACGGCGCTGCTCTGTCATCAAATATTTACCGAGCAGAGGAAATCTGGAGCAGTTCATTATGTGGAGAACGGAGTGCATGCGCAGCAAAGTAAATCAACCTGTCCTTTCATCACACACACATTCACACAGACCTAGTCACTTTGATTGTGAGTGATAGAAGCTCTGGGCCTCAGTGTAGGAAAATGGTGGGAGCCGAGCTTTAAATACATCACCAGATGCTTTCAGAGTGTTTCATGCTTAACTAAGAGAACGGGGGAAAAAAACCCAGAATTTGACTGAAAACAGGAAAAACACAAGACAAGAAGAGCACACACCCATACACAGACCCCCACCCATCTCTATCCACGCATTTCTTTTCTCCTCTGCTGTCTCCACTCTGGGCTTGCACTCGGCTTCTTCCTGTTCAGAGGATGTTAAGCGACGGCCACATTATGTCCTTTCTCTCTCTGTGATCAGGGGGCTGGGGCTGCAGCCACAGAACAGGCTCAATTCCAAGCCTGAAGTTCAACATTACCCCTCAACTTCACAAAGGGAGCAGGAAGGGCAGAGAGAGGACGCATGAGCCACCCACTGCTGCATTAACCATGGAAACCTCAGTGTCATTCCCACTCTTTTTGTTTGTGTGTGTGTGAAAACTAACTTTTACTCCTAATCTTTGAGGTAAAAAGTCTCAAACCATAAAAATGATTGATTTGATGCATGTTGTTGAAATAATCTTTTTTCCCCATCTTTAATAACGAAGCTACAGCAAAAACAGCTGCAGTGACTTTGTATGTTGTTAGTTGTAGATTGGAGACTTCAGGGACAGACTGTGATCCTGTGTAATATTTACTCTGCAGATGTTTGAGGGCGAGCTTGCACAATCAATTTCCCTTCAATTCCCCAGCCATCTAGTCTTCCGAACCTGAAACCCTGACCACCACCCCCTCTCCCTTTCCTCTCCGTTATACATGTGCATGCCTCAGAGGAACCATGGTGAGTTGGGTGTGTTTTGTTCTCTCTTACTGCTCACATCAATGTCCGTAATGTCCACTTAGAAAAGCAGAGGAAGGTAAAGAAGAAGAAAAGGGGCCCCGGAAAGAAGGAAATTGGGGGAAAAAAAACATGTCGTGGCCTTTTTCTTGCATGTGAATTACCTGATGGCTTTTTTCTCCCTCTGTATCTGAGAAGTATTGGCTCATTAGTATGCAGAAAGGAAGCTGATTTGCATCATTAAGCACTGCAGAGAAAAAGCAACAAAGTTGGTTAGTTTTACATCTACAAGTTTAATAGTGAACAAAGAGTTATTCCTGCTCAGAATACGTAAAACGTTAAAGGTTCTTAGATCAACACATCATTTTCGCCCATTTCACTTCATTAGATATCTTTCTTTTAAAGGAGCAGAGACAGATCCCATTAAGGTGGTTAATAGTCACAGTAGTGGTAACAGTTAGTAACCTACACTTGGCACTGGAGAGTCGATTAATGTTGTACTACACTGTTAATTGTCACACTCATAGTTTACAAAAGGCACAAAAGGCAAGCAATGCTGATCTGAAAAGGCTCAAGTCAACACAGAGAACCAGTTGTTTAGGACACAACTGCAGATGACATAAACCACAGTTCGTTCTGTCAAATTATTCTCCGTGGTAAGGCACATTGTTCTTATCTGAAAAGCTCATTTAATGTTATTTTCATGTACAAAATAAAATATAAAAATACATTGTAAATTGGTTACAGATGTTACCGCTTTTTCTTTTGTTTCAAAAGTTTGAAGGCATCAGTTGGCTTGTGTTTATGTGAAAGTGCACCACACCCTCTAAAAAAGTGGATACACATGGACAAAATATATTGTGTGCGTGGACGTCTGCATCCTTCGCAAAATAAACAGCCAAGGAAAACACAATAGAGCAAACACGGTAACACTGATGTCTCCAGGCATGAGCTAACCTCACAGAAACCTTTTTAGACGCTGTGGCCCAAGCTCCAATACTGCACTGTACTCCCATTTTGAATGAACCACGGTTTAGCTCTAAAAATTAGAATTGTAAAGAAAGCCATAGAATTTGGATGAATGCCATAAAGCTGCGACACATTTCCTTCTGTCCTTAATTAATCTGTGTAAATCAACATGACAGAACTCTAAGGCTGGGCACAAATCCAAGACGTAGTGATAAAAGATTTAGATGTAACATTGTTCCGTGGCGCTCCATAAATAAAGGCACTGTTGTTCAGGCTCTGACAATACTGTAGTGTGAAAAAAGGCAGAAGGCATTGCTTTGTAAGTCTTGGAGATGTAGGCAAAAGAATCACAAACCTCCCCATTGTGTATTTTTGTGCTTTGTCAGTAACACTCATAAATACTTTGGCATTTTTGATTCCAGTTTGTTACTGTTCCTCGTTGAGAAAGAATCCTTAGTGACATTTCACCAGTCCTTATCCACATACAGTAAATACCACACACAAAAAACTGCCTTTTTACAAAAGACATTTTAACAACTTTTAAAACGATAAAATTATAAAAATGGTAAATCGTCTGGAAGACTTCCCACATGAAGTGAGATCTTCTGACTGAGTCACTTGAATTATGAACATTTGTTCTCCAGTTTAGTAAAAGGTTTCTGTGCTGTATGAGTACATTTAGATCCTTAACGGATGAGTAAACAAATTATTAAAGGTCATTATTATTATTATTATTATTATTGTTGTTGTTGTTGTCTATTGTTGTCTGGGGGAAGTTGAGCTCTTGGAGACAGTTGGGCACAGCAAAGGATTAGTTTGAACCCTTCACCACTGTTGGCCCTTAATGCAGAAACAGATAGGGATTTGAACTGTTCAAAAACTGCTTTTTTTGTTGTTGTAGTTTTTATCTTATACTGGCTTTTAAATTTTGTAAAAAGGCACTTTTGGTAAAGTGTTGGACTTGTTGCAGGGCGGGGTCCTGAGGTTTTTGTTCCAAAGATCGCTGACGTCTGGTTGGTTGGTTAGACAGTAGCAGCCAGGTTGTTCCCAAAGTGCTGGTCTCTGGTTGGCTGAGCTGGGGAAGAGGCAGGGGCCGCGGGCCAATGAGCACGCCAGCAGGCTGAGATGGGTGGGTCATCAGTGGGCGGAAATGTCAGAAGGTCAAGGGGTCATGGGTTAGTTGCCGTGGTAGCTAGAGTTAGACGGACAGAGACGGACAGACATGGAAAGGAAACAAAAAGGGCACATAAAAGGGGACATAAAAAGAAAAAAGATAGAAGAGAGATTAGTGTCAGCTAGTGGCGTCAGGATGACAACAAGGCAGATCTACTGCAGTCACACAGCGTGAGGGGTATTACAGGAGGCCTGCACAGCACCTTCATGAGCGCTCCATGACCATTCACAGGGACTTACATCAAGCACCAGGTGTTGACATAAGGAATGGTGGCTTCATGTGTGCTCACAAGGGTGTTTGTGAGTGAAGATTTAGGGAAATACTCCTCCTCATGTGTGACTGCTGCTATAGTGACTCTACTCATGCTAGCTGAGCTACATCTAGCACAGACAAGACAGTGAAACCATGGACAGAGGGGCATGGTTTCATGTGGGTGAGAGACTGACCTTTATGTTCAAAGAAAAGAGACTGGGCCTCACTAATACTTTTGCTTACTGACTGGTAGAGGTTCTGTTTAGCAGCAGGCATACGATCTCAGTGATTAACTGATTATTGATTATGGTTTGATTTGTTTGCTGTTTAGTATTAGAGGAGCATCTAACGACTACAGTAAGCAGAGAGGCACCAATAAGAGACAGCAATGAGAGGTTAAGAGATGGTGATTTTAGAGAAAATTTAACAAACAATTTAACAGTAGACATAGACTAGCTACAAGAATTCTGAGGCTTTGGTTTCCTTGGCACATGTTTTTTTTTCAATAATCATCTTTATTGCCTTTTAGTGTTTTTTTTTTCTTTTCCACTGTGTACAATACGAGCACCGATGCTCACATGCACGCCCACACATACAACACACACATACACACGCACATAATTGTAGCTAGCTAGTCCATTTCTATTGCATAAAACAGTCACGAGGCCCGTGAATGGAGAAGGGTCACCTCGTCTTAAATACACAGAGTATAACACTGCCTTCACTGCCACCTTCCCGGTGACTAAAACAGTAGTAACTACACACTTTGAATAAAGTTTTGAAGTTTTACATGGAGACACTTCATCTATAAAAAGTATACCATAAAAACAAAATAAAAAAAATTTACAAACTAAAAAGAACTAAAAAAAAAAAAAAAAAAAGAAAACTACAAGTATTTCCAAGCGATCTTCTTCCATAAGCTTCTTATAAGCACTTAAATCCTTAAAATCCCTATATACAAATTTATTTTGCAGCTAAATACATGGTAACAGCACCACTCTGGCTAGGAAATATATGAAGGATGTAAACAGCCCCAATGATCAAGTCCAGTGGGCGACTGATAAGACCACAAACAACAGTATCTGATACAAAAGAGCTTGTAACACAGACTTCAGTAGTTATCACACGCTGTGTTTTAGTAGTAAAACCCAAAGGTCATATTGGATTGGATGACCTTCAGGGAAAAGACAATCACTGTTACTTTAAGTGTCATATAGTCATTGGGCAGAACACAGGATTTCATTCAAAATAATAATATTTAAAATAATAATAATAAATCATTTGTGAAAATCTACTGGAATGGTGTATTGGGTATAAATAAAAAGTAGTAATAGGAGATAAACTACACCTAAGTCAAATAAAAATTTCACTCCAAAACCAGAGTCACAAGGACCGAGTCACATGAACGGACTGATCTACTCTAACTGAGAGGGTGCCAGCCTGCAAGTCCACAGGCGAGCAAAGATAACTGCTGCAGCTGCGACCTTTTACATGGTTCCTCCCAATCTGCTCACTTACTTCACTTTCACTGCAACAAATACTGTTTCACATTTATACACTGATGCTGCCTCAGTGTGTGACCTTTTAACCTTAACACAGTTAATTCCTCGTCTTTAAAAAAAAAAAAAAAAATTTAAGGCATGCCGTATTACACAGACACATGTAAACTGGGAATTGGTCCATTGGTCTGCATGCACACTCACACTAACACACACACATACACATTAAAGTGGCTGGTGAGCTAACTAACCTCTGTCTGTGGTCACTACCCTTTGGTAAGGATGGATTCTCTTGTCGTGGCGTCGTACCTTAGTGGTCATGGCACCTGCTAACAGCCATTTGACATCGCCAAAACAGAACACAGACGGTTACTCATCAGAAAGACAATCAAACAGTCTACTCATGGCACCAACATCAGTGAAACCAGGAAACATAATCAAGACTGAAAGTGGAGAATAAACAAAACAGCGTTTCCCCTTGAAGAGCACACTTATTTTGTGTTGTTCTGTGGTCGTCTCTCTTTCTTGTTTTTTAGGAGATATTATCAATCCGAACCACTACTCACTACTAGTAGATTCAACATCAGCTGCTAGTAAAAAAAAATCACTCTCTATCGCTGTGATCAAAATAAGCTTTAACACATATTAAATCACAAATAGCAGCGCTATAATATCTACGGGTTCACTAATATGTGTTAAAAGTATAAGCGGAAGCTGAACTATTAAAAACGAGTTAAGTAGCTGTCACACCACAACACTAGTCTGCTAATACAAAGCGTAAATGAACAGGAATGGACACTTGACTACTTGAATGACTGCCGGAGAACCTGTCATCCTAAAGTATGGGCAAACTCTGAGTGTTTGCCCCGTGGGACGTGTGTGTGTTTTGGGGGTGAGGGAAGGGGGAGAGGAGCAGGGAGGGAAGGGTCTCTCTCTGAAAAGCCAGTCCATGTGTGTGCTAGTGGGGAGTGTTGCTATCGCTTTTAGCCTTTGGTTGGGAAAGCCATACCTGCGAAAACACAGGGAGAAGAGACTGTTAGCCCAGCGATGAGCTTCAGCATGCATCTGTACACAATGTCGATGTATTATGAGAGCTGGATAAAGGCAACCAGTCTGTTTGCATTGGCAAACTGCTGCACTGAAGCAACAAAAAGCCCCTGTAGCATCAACATCTGCTGCAGGAGCTGGACTGAATGAACCAGTTGTGGGTCGTGATCGTGATTAAATCCAAATTAGGCTTGAATAGAAATGCGGTCCGGATCATGAAAACACAAATTGGCAACACAGCTCCATGGGGTCATGATATCACAAGACTAAAATGCATCTCTCAGTTCACAATTACAACCACCCGATCCGCTGAGACGGGCAGGGAGACACAGTCAGAACTCAAAGGTTTATTCAAATTCCATACATTTTACTCCAAGTGAATAGAATTACTTTTCAGAAAGGTTGGATTTCTTTTGTGTTTTGGCACATTTACATGGTGAGCAGCTTTGGTTGGAGCTCAGTATCCAGTTCCCACAATACATCCATTGACTATGTATGAAAGTGAAGATGTTTGAATTTTCATACCTAGTACTCCAGTTGAGTCAATGGGATATTCCAATATGGAGGGTGTGAGTGTGTAGGGATAGTCATAAGGTGTGTAGATGATTCCGGATTCCGGCCCTTGCTGCACCAGCGCTGGGTGTGGATTGCCTCCTGGCACGAGGGCAGAGCTCTGGATCTGACGGATTAAAGGCATGAGGGTCGGCGTGGTGACCGGGGCAGGGTTGCGCAGGTTGGGAGGCAGGACGGGCGTTGGGCCTGTGATGATGCGTGGTGCCTGAGGGGTCGCTAGAGGGAAGGCTGCGGTGGCTGTGAAGTGCACGGGTATGCAAATATTGCAAGTATGCCCGCACCCACACACACACACACGTACAACAAAGCAATAGACAGGGAAGAAAAGAGAGGACAATCAGTCTATTTAACAAAGGAAACAGAGGCATTGTTTGTATATACAGTGGACTCCTGTACCAAGACCCATCCCGTCACCCACCACCCCTCCTCCACATTAGCTATGATGTCATGCTTACGCGTCTTAACATTGGCGTCTCTGTAGGTCCCATTCAGAATGGCCAGCTCCATCAACTGCATTTTCTTCAGGTTGTCCTCCCCCTCAGCCTGAAACCAACACAGCAGCACAGGACCGTCATTCAGACCATTCACAAGTCCAAGAATTCACTGTTGTTAGACAGCAGTAGTCTGAAGCTGTGTCTGATTGAATGTAAAGATATTGGTATTTTGACTTTGGAAACAGAGAGCATGTACTTTTCTTTTATTCGGCCAAAGAGGGGGCTATAAACACAGTTTGTAACACATCATGCAGTTAGCTGAGTCAGGTGGTACGTCATTATTGTTTTACATTCATTTAATTCTATGACAATGGGTATGCTTAGAAGTCAAGGGAAGGAAAGTGAACTCCTTGTCATTGTGACACAGCACACCACTGCTTTTAACCCATCACCAAAGTGAACAGTGGGCAGCTTTAAGAGCCTGTGGAGCAGTGTGTGAGGACGGTGCCATGCTCAGAGCACCTCAGTGGTAACCTGGCAGAGGGTGGACTCAAACCTGAAACTTTCCAGACCCAAGTCCGCTTCCTTAACCACCAAGCCACTACTGCCCCCACATCTTTATACATTAAATCTAAAGATTTCATGGTAAATATTTAATACTTCATAGTGCTGCCCCCTATTGCTTTACCAGTAAAACCCTTCCACCCAGAGGCTCTCTAGTCTTTTGCATAAGATGACGAAAAGAGGAACTAAAACTAGAAGACAGACAAACTCATGACTTTGTACACCATTCCATCCATTTACACTGGTGACTGAGGTACTGTGTAGGGGCTGGCTACATTTTGATGTGTAACAATATATTCAATAAATCTACTGTGGGCCAAAGTAAAATTATTGGGTCAAACATGGCAGCCTCCTGGAGCTCGGCTAATTCCAGGACCACCATTTTTTTTTTTTTTTTGAAAAAAAAAAGTCATACTCTAATAATAAACATTCGTATAGAGGAGAGAAGTTTTTATGTTTTGCAGATGAAGAGACCTTGACCACTCTAATCCACTCCAACACAGAGGACATTGAGGTCAGTGTCACACACACACACACATTCACAAACACAGGTTAACACCTGGTTGGAGCTCCTGTTTGCCTTAAGTCACTTCTTACTTCTAGGACTGTGCAGGATGTGACAGCTGACTGCAACAATGGTAATCACCCTGCTGCTCTTTTCAGACTGCCTCTATTGTTGAGCATAAAGCAACGGAAAAGAAGAAAATAGCCTTGTGATTTCACAATACGTGCTGGTGGGTCGCACCGTGTGATCATTTGGAGAGCGGCGGTCGTTCTTCGTCCATGTCTGCGTCACCTTTTTCTTTTCAATATGTGCGGAGTAAGACACTCATACTCATAGCAGTATGAGTGTGTAATGTGTTATTACGGCGGAGGTAGATGGGACGGAGAATGTGAGAAATGTTGAGGAGCGCAATCAAAATGTCCTCTTGTGCAGACGAGACGACAAAAACCCAGTGGAGAAAAAGGAGTACTGTAGCTAGTAGTTGGGAATGAAGTGAGTTGTGAACAAGTGAAAGGAGTGATGGAGTGGGAGAACGAGTGAACAGACTCTCCATTCATTCCCTCAGCCTTTCAAACAACCAGGGGTTACCATGGAAACCCCTTTATGTGTGTACCCTAATTACCCTAACTCCTTACACATACTCTCTCATACACAGAGACACACACAAAAAAACTCAAAAAGACACAAACACACACTTTTTTTGGACTGACAATCCCCTTCCCCCTTCCTTGCATACCAACGCAGCAAACTCTGGTCCACTCACACACAGTCGCTCCATCAGTGTGTCCCCTCATATCGGATGCTGGGGGAGTGTAGGGGGGAGTTTGGACTGATACTCACAGCAGGCACAAGAAGTTTCTTGACCTCGTTGATGGCCCGCTGGAGCTTGATCTTGGCCCGATTGTGTGTGTCCTCCACTGTGATGAGAACATGGAGGTCTTCGCTCAGATGCTCCCAGTTGGGCTTCCCTCGGTTCATCTCCTCCTGAAACACACAAACATTTTAAAAGCTGGTTTTGAATGCGCCACACAAACCCCAGTGTCGTTACTGGAACAGGATTTGGCTTTTCTTCTGGGTTTGGATCGGCCTCAAACTTCACACACAAACACACAGTCTCGGTCTCACGGTTGTGTAACGCAGCTTTGAAAGCATTGTTACGGTCATTTGAATGAGCATGATTCACATCAGGGCCCACAAAGGTTTAGTGTTTTTACTGAAGACCTCTTCACTTCTTTCACACTTCCCTTAGATCAGATCACTGCTCTGTTTCTGAATAATCCCTAACTTTCTTGAATTATCAAATCAATCTGTGGAAAAACAAATCCACTGGCAGTCACAGCAATGGAAATAATGCTTTGTATCAGATAGGACAGAAGGAACACCGTTTACACTCTGACTGGTGTGTACTTGTTTGTTTCCAACTGTGTGGTTTCATACAAACAAACTGTTGAAAACTACTGCCTGATATTGTACAGTGCATAGTTTACATTTTCCTCAGATAGTTCAGCTAAACTTTTACAGGGACCAGCCACCCTGAGACTACAGACCCTGAAGTGGAAGTGTCAAAGTTCACCACATCGGTTCCCACTAAAACAGCTCAGCAGATTGTGAATGGATCGTCACAATGTTCTTTTTATTACTGACATGAATGGTTCCCAGTGGATGGATCCTAACTCCTTCAATGACTCGCTCCCTTTTCATCTGCCTTGACTATAAGACTTGGCCTTTTGGATTAGAGTGAAATCAGCACAGACATTAGAGTCAGTCCTCTTTGGGATAAACCCTCTAAACTCTCACTCTGGTCTTGTGTCATTTCTGCTCTTTAATTAGAGTTGTTTAATTTGTCATTTTCTATATTGTCAGCACTTCAGTTACATATGGAACGTTTCTCTTCAGCACACCCTTTGTCATTTCCTACGCAACTGTTTCACTGACTTTTTAGGTGCATCACAAGTAACTTCCTCTCTCTGTCTTAGCTGTTAACAACACAGAGAGTTTGAACTTTTTTAATCCTCACCATGGATTAACAAGAAATCCTATAAACAACTTCTGTCGGGCACAATCCCAACTTCACGTCCTGTATATATTTATTGACCAGTTGCAATAAACCCAAGTGAAACCAGTTGTTTTCTCCTTGTTTCCAGTCAGCGTGCAGAGCTACGCTGGATATTTCCTAAGCATAGGTTCCCATGTCACAGCCAGATTAGTGAGTAATGTTTATCTTCTTATCCGAATCCCCACACAATAGATAATTTCTCAGAGCCTCCCAGCCTTTCAGAACTCTTAACAAGCCATAACCATCAGCTCTGGAGTCATGCCAACAAATTAGGCCTTAATACATTGCATTGTTACTTGCAGCGCTGAAAAAACTGCGATGAGTAAATCAATGGGTTCGGTTCAACTCATCTGTGTGTGAGGTGGGCGCTGGGTATTTTGTCAAAGTACTCTGTACTATAACATATCAAAGAACCCTGAAAGTCAACATCTTTCTCTCTCCCCCCTAGCCTCCCACTGTGTCTCTGTTTTCCTTCCTCTCTGTCTCTGTGTGTGTCTCCCTCAATCGCTGAGGGGTGTGTGGGGTAGGGTAGGGAATGTTCTGGAGAGAGAGAGAGAGAGAGAGAGATTTCAAACCTCACCTTGCCGTTTGGAAAGGCTTGAGCTGACTCCATCCAACAGCAGACACCAGGGGAGAGGAAGGGAGGACAGATGGACCAAACACCAGGATAGGAGGAAAACTCAGCACCAAAAACTCAATGGTGAAAAGCAGTGAGGACAGATAGAACCCCTCGAACACAAATAAACATCAGCTGCTCTCTTACTTGGTTTTGTAACATGCTTGTGTTTTTCCTTTTAATCTAAACCTGTGAAACAGTTCTAGGGGTCACTGGAGGCCTGGGGCCCACACCATGTTTTCACAGGTTTCTCCAAATCACATTACTGCAGAACATTTATCAAAGCAAGTCCCAGTTGTTGTCAAGAGTTTCCTACTGGTCTTTCCTGACCTGCAGGCTGAAGTTGAAATTTCTTGGGTCACGTTTTTATGGTAAAATATGTTTTTATAGGCCGAACTATCCCATCTGTATTTGTTTTTAAATGATTTAGTAAAGTCATTCAATCGGAAATGTGATTAAAGCACATGTAGAAAGAATTCAACAGAATTTTACTTAGATTTCTTTAGACAGACAAATGTGTTTTTTACAGGGTTTTTTTTTTTCGTCCTGGGGAAAATTCTGGTTAATTTTCTGGGCGGCAACTTCTTGGCTACCTAGCTATTTTCAGACTTCTTTCTTATGCCATGGCTAATTTCTGACTATGTTTGCATTTTTATATTTATTTCGATAGCTTTTTATTAAACATATTATTAGCTTAAAGCTAATATGTTTTAATTTTGTTTCTATTTTAGCTTTGCTTTTAGCTGTAAATTGGCCGAATAATAGATTTTTTGGCTTGTTGTTTTTTTAGGTTTGTTTTCAAACCAACTTCTGTCTAAATCTGCTATATCTTTGGATAACTTTTAACAGCTTTTCAGAAAAAAAAAATCCTGCAAAATATAGGAAGGAAAGTACGCCTTGGTTAATGTGAAGCCAATAAACTGTAGACATTTTTGTCCTGGGTTTTGGGAAATTTTACTTTGAGCTGCAGCTTTTTTTTCCTTTATACAAGTGATTCGTTTATCATGAGGGTAAGTAGTTAGACTTTACCGGTAAGATCGAGCTTAAAATGTCAGCTTTGATTATTTCTAAGACCATTTGACACATAAAACGTCAAACTCTGACTGTTTTGCGACCTTGTTACCTCTGTCTAGTTATCGCTCTTCCTGTTTCCTATCTTTATCCTGATCCAAGCTCTAAACACGCTCTAATCCCAGGCTAAACATTTTACAAGGACCTTTCCAGGAAGACTTTTCAAATAATGTTATGTGAAAAACAACTGCATTTCCTTGGCCAACAGCACGGCTCTGCTAATGAAAAAGCAGTGTGTTGGTCCGTACCTTCTTCTTGTCTCTCATGGAGCCCTTCCCTCGCACCATAATCTTGCATCCTGTTTCTGCCTCCAGTTGTTTGGCCGTCAGACCGCGGGGGCCCAGGATCCTCCCTACAAAGTTAAACTACACAAAAGAAGCAGAAAAGCTCAGATTGAAAATAAACAGACCTGAATGAACACAAGATGCATTACGTCATTCACAAACAGACGTTTTTACAACATGTGTGTATTTACACGTGTGTGTGTGTGTTTGAACCTGCGATGTGTCTGTGTTTCTTGGAGAGACCAAAATAGATCATTATATGGGAGCTGACTGGTGCCGATGGCATGACAGAGCACCACCGTTCTCTTAACCTTATCTGTCACCAAGACTGAGTGATTAACTAGACAGCTGCCCCTGTTTCTCTCTCTCTGTGTGTGTGTGTGTTTTTTTAACTCTGTCGCACTGTCTTTGTCACACACACCTTTGAAAACCATTTGTCCTCTCCTCAAACCTTCCTTCATTTAAGTCTAACCTATTTTAACCCAGTGTCCACTGCTGTGACCCCTGCCACGGATTACACCACATTCTGAGATGAGCGCTGACTTCCTTCCAGCACACACACAAATCTAGACAGAGGAACTGCTCTCTAAATTTAACTCTGATCTCAACCATTTTCCAGGCCACTCTCCTGCGTATGTGTCCTGTTAGTCTCCTGTCATGTGAGTGAGGACAGCCTTTTATTGTACTCGGTGATTGGTGAGCTGATGCATGGAGGAAATCATGTGAGCTGTTGGAGTAACATCAACGTAGCCCTTCAATTGTTTTGAAACGCTCCAGTGTACTCGGTGTGAGCGGCGACACGCTGGATAAAGTGGCTGCGTCACATCTGACTTGGAAAACAACACTTAATCCATCCTTTTAAGTTTTTCAAAACATCTGTGGTGTAAATTTGAGATTAAGGTGAAGGCGGATTTAAAGTCCTGTCAACAACTATCGCATCATGGTTTACTTGTTATGACTACAGCAGATTATCTTTTTTCAGAAGGTGCATGTGATTAAAAGACAATCTTTCAGTGGCCACGAGGAGATAAGGTGACCAAAAGTAAACAGAAATGCGTCCAAAAGGTCAGGGGTCACGGCCTGGTCCACTCACATCAGGGTACTCCTTGACAGGCACATAGAGCTTCTCCTGCAGCTGAGCCACAGGGCCAATAGGTTCAGGAAGCTCCTCCATGTCCCGGCCGTTGAACATGCCACCGTTCAGTGTGTCATTGTACATGTCCTTGCGAACTCTGCCGATCTCTGTAGAAAGAGTAAAAGACAGAGGGTGATGAAAGTGACATGTGATGACAAGGAAACATACATCCAGCTAGTGAGTTCTTCAGAGTGACGGCTCACTGACACCAGAGTTACAGGACGTTCTAACAGTGCTGGAGAACAGTTAGACAGAGGGAAAGGCAGCCGATCAGGGAGAGAGCCAGACGCATTCTGTACCACTATGTTAACACTAAGCACTGAAGGCTTTGTTGTCACAGTGAATTATTTTTGATCATTTTTATTATTTCAATGCACTGACAAAGACTTTTAAGCTGGTGTGGATCACAGTGACCTACACTTCCGGGCAGCATTCATGATGATCTAACTAACAGAGCCAGGTGTCAGCAAACTATTTGACTTGCAGGCCACAATTGTCCTGAAATTTAACGGTGGGGGGGTCAGGAGCACATAGACAGAGCGTTGGCGTGAACTGAAGAAAAATGACAAGTGACAATGAAAAGTTATGCATAAAGGCTAAAATGCTATAATGCTTTTATTATGTTCTACATCATCTATTTGGGAAACGTGGGTATTGCAGGGAAAAGGCAGAAGTATAATGATAATGTAAATAAATTGTATAATTTGGAAATGTTTGGCGGGCCGGATTAAAAAGCTGAACGGGCTGCATCCAGCCCCCGGGCCTTAGTTTGCCCATGCCTGAACAGAGTTGACATTCATGGAATTCAATTGGGAAAATTATTTCAGAATTATTAAACAACTATAACTATTGGTAACTATTTCCAGAACCATCACTCAGTGTATTAAATGCTAAAGTTGGTTGGCTAAATAACTATAATATAATATAATATAATATAATATAATATAATATAATATAATATAATATAATATAATATAATATAATATAATATAATATAATATAATATAATGAACTTGTGATTCAAACTGTTGCTTATTTTCTTTTTCTTAATTCAGTGATGCAGGTCTAGTGAGAGGGGAAACATTATAGGAGGCGTCCTCGATCTGCGATTGTAATTTTGGCTCCGAGTCTGCTGTCCTCAAAGGTCAGAATTTTGGCCTAGACCTTTTTGGCTGGTACGGTGCAGAGGCACGGTCACAAATTAGACTCTGTCTGTCAGTGTCTGTTTGTTTGGGGTTTGTTTCAATGACCGATGCTAACCTCTGATGCCTTTGTAATGACACGCTGGCATAATAATAACTGACTACTGCCACACACAAATGCAACACGTACACACAGACCTGGGGTGTCAACACACAGACACACACACTCAGACACACACACACTCAATAACTGCCTTGAGGCACAAATATCATCTGACCTAAGCAGGCTGACAGCCATGTCTCCCTGCTTTGAGATAAGTCTGACCGTAATAACTACAGTCGGACGCTATAATTACAGACACAGCTACAGCAACAACGGAGATCCTCTAACAACCTATTCCGACCTGTTGCAGGCCAAAAGGTGGCCATTTAAAAACACACAAACAAACAGTAAGAATCTGCACACCTAAGCAGGCTTTTTGTCACGCCATCTGAGCTCCACGCGGCACTGACTTCCTTGAAGTAAATGAGAAGTGAAAGAAGAAGAGATTTGAAGGTGGAAAAAGATGAAGGAGGGTGCTAAAGCAGACTTTACACTGAAAGTTTCAACTGGTGTTTATTTATAGGCCAAACAACCGCCATGCTAACAATATGTGTGAGTGACAGCCTTTCCTATTTACACCCTTATGCCTAAGCCATTGGATAAAGCCAGGCAGTAAATGGACATGGTACAATGAGCAGGGGTGTTATGTCCGTCATGTGTGAAGAATGTATACGCCTGACCATCACTCTTCAACCAGAACATAACAATCTATCGACCAAGTGGTCTATTTCAGGCCGGGGAGGTCATCTCCTATTGTTATCTCTAAGAACAAAGTTGCTGTGTCATGTGGATTGTCAAAAAACTCAAAGTCAAAACTCCAGTGATCCTGATGTGCAGCAACAGCAGCAGCAGCAACAACACGCCTCAGCAACTGGCATCAACTGTTTCAAAAGTGACCTTCAAGGACAGGATGGGACGCGACTGGCATTTAGAAGAAGGAAAACGATGCCACCCTGCCTCTCTGTGCTGATGCCTGTCGACATGTCTCTGGCCTTATTTCAAAGCATCCCCCGTGAACTGTGGGAGAAATCAACAAGTGGAGCGCACTGGTCGGATTCACAGGCAGGCAGCGTGTCTTTGGAGGCAGAGAGTGGCCACAAATCAACTATTTTACACAGTGACATGCTGCCTCGTTCCTGCTCAGGGATGGGCTGCAGCGTTCACATAAGCCTGCGCATTAGGTCACTGGGAAAGACTAACAACTGTCTGTTTGTTCCCATCACCAACTGACTCGCTCTGTGTGTGTGTGTGTGTGTGTGTGAGGGAAAAGAAGAGAGACAGACAGAGAGGCTGAGAGAACGAGAGAACGAGAGAGAGAGAGAGAGAGAGAAAGACGAGGTTAGTATGAATCCTTTTGGTTGACTGGTTTTACTCTCAACTGATGTAAATGTAGGAATACTGAGTCTTTTCAGAGCTGACATCATTGGTCAGAATATTATTTCAACTTCACTCTTAGATCATTCTGATGGAGGTTAGTGTAAATAAGGCTTTCATTCACAGCAGGCTGTAGAAATAAACAGAAGTCAGTGAAGGGGCCATGGGATGTTCTGTGTCTTAGATGATTAATCGTCTAGAGTCGGTGCTCGTGAGACTTTTTGAAGCCTGCATCAAACTTGCCAATGACTATTTGGTCGCTGCATGGCCAACTATTTGTAAATAAATAAATACAATAAAAACAACCCCATTGTGTTTTTGCCCTCTGACAGGTCGATTTTTGTGAAAAACACACCTTCCTTCTTTCAAAACTCCACCAACCCCCAGAGTGTGAAACAGTAAGTTGACCCCTCATTGCCCCAGTGCGGCCGTGTCAAGTGCAGAGACCGGCTTACCTTCATCCAGCAGCCGCTCCAGATGCGTGAAGATGCCGCTGAAGTTTGGCAGCGAGCTCATCACCTTCCTGTCGTTCATCAGCTGCATGAGATAGTCCGGGTTGGACTTGGGTCTCTCCTTCACCTCTGTCTCCCCGACCATGGCTGTAGTTTGGTAGTAGAAGTGGTCCAGCTGATCGAAAAAAAGTTTTTAAGAGATTTGAAAAAAAAAAAAGACGAGAAAGAGAAATAGAGTGGCGGCGGAGGGAAGGACACACACCCCAAAAAGCGATGCAAGGACCCGTGGGGATTCCAGCAGCCACGACCCACTGACCGCCGCACTTACAGGCGGATAAACTTCAATCTCTGTCTCGGTTAAATCGACTGTCCTTCGGTTAGCGTTTCTAACCGCAGCCCCTTCCTTTCCTTCTGCCAACAGCCCCCAGTGACCAAGTCTCTGCAGAGTTGAAAAAAGTTCCTTTGTGGAGAGGGTTTGTCTCTGTTCGTAACTTTTTCACCGGCTCGGTGCACTTGGCAGCTTCCCTGTGATGATGTCCTCGGGCCCGGCTCCTCCGCTTGTGTCCGCCCAGAGTGTCGGTATTCTGCGGCGGGGATCGACTCCCAATCATATGATTACAGTAGAGCAGCAGCACGAGTGGGCTGACGGGGGCGCGCGACGCGACGCCGCGGTTGAGAGGGGAGGAGGCTCGTGCTCGTGCCCGCAGCAGCTCCAAGCGCGTGCACACGAATACACGCTCGTGACAATAAAACAGCTCTGCATAGGTATGTCCACCTGTTGGCCACTGTCACACTCCGTGACTTTTCTCTGTGTGTGGTGCAAGGAATTTTAACAGAGCATTTCTGAACGGACTGACAGTGTTTACAGAGGTTACATTGTTTCAGAATGTGGATGCTGTGCAGGCAAGGAAAAATACAAGACTAAATACAGTTTTTCACCGCTTTGGATTGTCGAAACATAATAAAAATAAGAAATGACAATAAAGATGCAGTACAGAGCTGTACTTCCAATTAGTTTCAGACAAAAAAAATCTAGATTTGCCTCCTCCAGACATATTTGGAGTGTCTCATTTCTTTCACAGTCTGGCCTGTCTGTGATTCTTCAGCAGAAGTCAAGTCTCCTCAAAAAACATTAAAAGCATCTAAAGAGAGAGAGAGAGAGAGAGAGAGAGAGAGCGAGCAATAAAATCCACTAATTTGGGTCAGAGTTTCTAAATTATACTTAAATTGGTTGGTTATGTTTTTTCATCCTTCTGGATTAGATTCTGACATGGAAAAACAGGGGACTTTGTTATACATCATTAAATATAAGGACTCACTTGTGTGAATGGATCCTGCACATTTAAAGTTTGGTGTTAAAGGTCCTGAAAGGTCAAGAGGTGCTGACCTTTGCAATGGGTGAGTCTGAATAATGAGTCCGGTCAGTTAAAGACAACCGTAAATGATATAATGATATATAATGATATAATGATTCAATTAAAATACAATGATAAACAACAACGGTAACGGAGTTGTTCTGTTTTGTTCACATTAATTGTGACGTTGTCATGTAGTCTTTGTTGCCATGTGTTTTATAAACAACCCTGAACTAAAACTGCTTTAACTGCTCGTCCAATCTGCATTATAAATAAAACTGCATGGTTCTCAAAAGGGTTCAGCCTCACCACAAACTGATGGTAAATCCCATAAACAGGGGCATAAATACAAAAGAAAGAACTGAAAAGACCAGCAAAAAATTGCAACATTACGACAAGTACTCGGTAAATCACAGTAAAACTTCAGACAACCACACAACAAAATTGTAAATGTGTTACGAAAAAGAGAGAGAGAGAGAGAGACCAAATGAGGACAAATTAAAGAGTTAGAAAGACATAACAACAAACGAACACACACAAAATGACCACAGTGGGAAGATCAGCACAGACGAACACTGAAGAGAGACACAGGATGGTAAAAAGACAATAAATGACTATAAAGAGATGCTAAATAGCTACTAGGGGGCAACAATGACCCCAAAGAGAGGTGAAACGGCCATAAAGAGAAGCCATTAAGGATCTGACAGATCAATAATGAATGTTTGTTCAAATACTACAGTGAAATTAGTCTTCAAAGGAAGAATGCGTGTAGAAGACTGAGCAACGTGGACAGTCAGACAATGACATTCACCTCTGTTACATTGAATGTTGTTGAATGTTATATATAAATATTTTAAATTTAAATCTATGTTTCAGATCCCATCAAAATCACACAAACCAGAAATCTATACTGTTCATTATTGTTTGGTGGACACGAATCTGCTAATTATTCCAGCAGATGAATCCGTTTAAATGAAGTCCGTTACAGTACAAGTAACTACTGCATTAAAATACCAGTTCAACTGTGATGAGGGAGGAGACTTTCTGACTGATGCAGTTTGTCCTTCACTCTCCACTGAATTCCATTTAGCTGTTTACACTGTGCTGCTTTTACTTAAGTCAGATAAAATGTAGGAGTCTATGGTTTCAGCATGTTCCATGTCATGAAACCTCCTCCTCCTCCGTCTCACCCTCTGTCTCGCCCTCCCATCTTTTTCTGTTTACAACCTTTCCTCCTGTCAGGCGTCCTGAAATAATAAGAAGGTGTGAGCTGTGCATTTGTCCTCTCTGGGTGTCTGCTGCTGCTGCTGCTGCTGCTGCTGCTGCCGCCCAGGGAAGAGACACATTATTGGTGAGGGAACAGATAGGTGTTAGGATCCAAACATAACCTGCTGTAAATCACACACACTTGTGTGTGCACACCAAACACACCCACACGCCCACGTACAGTAGAGGGTGGCGACAGCATATGCATGCGTTGACTTTAACCTTTTGTCAGAGGTTCCTGGCCTCCCACATGGTTTCACTGTTCCACCCAAAGTTTTCGCCTGGTAAGATGGGTGTTATGATTGAAGATGAGGGGGCTGGTGTGTGTGTGAGCTACAGGAATTGTGATGGGACAGCAGTGTTGGTAATGGCTGGTCAGCTGGTATGGCGAGTATTCAGGCTGGGGGTTGTGCATTGTCCTCTCATAGCTCCAACAATGACCCTCTGAGCAGGCCACGCATCTACCAGTCACGGGCCTCTCTCCCTCTCTCTCTCTCTCTTTCTCCCCCGACCCCTCTGTCTCCCCCTCTCTCTCATGGCCCCGGTCTCTGCTTTTCTTTCCGCCTGCCATATTTATTCAGCCTTAAGTGAAGTGTAAAGTGAGATGTGTTTCGTGGCAGCGCTCCTGACCCTTGACTCAAGGTCAACCCATAAACTTATTTTGACAACCATCCGTTCAGTGTCAAAACATCACTATTTGTCAGTTCCTTATCACTCTAAATGCTTAATGCTTTTCCTCTGTTGTTGTGCGTATGTATTAGTGCTGTATTTTTATGCATTATTAAAAGTCACATTCAGCATGTACTGTATTTCCCAATATCTCTCTCTCTCTCTCTCTCTCGTCTGTGGTTCATTGTGTGCCTTGTTAACAACTGACATCAATCAATTGTCTACAATGTTAACAACGGAAATTGTTTGTTTTTGTGTTTGATTAAAAAAGGAAATCAATGCCTTTTAAGTTGAATATTTTATTTTGTATGTTTTTGTCGCTTTACTGGGTCCATTAAATCAGAATTAAATTCTATATAACCAAATTATAACAAACTGAGCCTCAAATAAAATAAAAACAAAAAAATAATTGTAAGATATATAATATTTATCTATCATTATATATCAGATCTACGTTTTTTCATAAAGTGGACTTTTTTTAATTTGACTCCGTTTGCATCTTTATTAGTTATGAGGAAATGAATAAAACGAAACCATGTTGAAGACATGAGTCTTGGCTCGACTCCCAACATGTAAATATGCTGTTTTCGATATTATTTTTTATTGTTTATTTATCAAACATATTATTTAAGATTTAGTTTTTTCCGTACTAACCATTTTATTTATTAGTTTATAATATAAATTATAAATCCAAGAATAATTCATTCAAAGGGATTCCAGCAAGGAGAACGCTCCTGTTAGACTGTGACTAATGAAAATACGCCCTCCTGTGGAGTTTTTATCTATTGCAGCCTGTTTACATTCAAAATACATCAGCGTTCTGGCGTTTAAGTGCATGCCAGTAAGATTGCTAAAGGCATAGAGAAGGTTTGGAAATGATTCAGGGATTAAATAGATTCCATCTGTAGCGGTGAGGTACGCTCGTTGGCTGTAAGTCATGGGTGTGTTACTGAAACGTAACCTCACATATAAAATCACAGTTTATTTGCTTACATCAACACATTCAGTTTAATTCGATCTCAGCTTGTTACTCACCCTCACCAACAGAGGGCAGCAGAGTACAAAACACAGCAGGAGTGTTATAAGAGGGTATTTCAGAGTTATTTCTGCAACGTTTTAAAGTAGTACTAGGATTGTAAACGGCAGTATATAAACTAAACTGAAAAAAGTAGTACTGAGACAGAGTAACAAATATTTCGCTGAAAAGTATTTTCTGATCAAATATGTACTTTGTCAGTACTGTAACCTGACCACTACATGGTGTTTAAATATGAATATAAAACATATTGGTATATAATGTATATTATGGTCTATGGTTTTACTGTTCTATTGTATTGTATTTCTATTATAGTCTTTTGTTATGGACAATTGGGGGTAGTTTCCTGCAAATTGTTATTTTTAATCATAATTCTCTTATTAATAGTAATGTAAAGAAGTACATAATGTGTTTTATATAATTCAGCATAAAATATTAAAGTAAGGGTTAGTTAATATCATACTATGTGGAAATAATATAATAATTAACTTTAACAAAGACCTTCATTTTTAATTTTGTACGTGACATATTGTTGTAGTACTGCATCTTGGAGTCTATTTACGTTCTTCAAGTTTTCTCCTGTCTGCCAGTCTGTCTGTCTGTCTGTCTGTCTGTCTGCCAGTCTGTCTGTCTGTCTGTCTGTCTGTCAGCCTGTCAGCCTGTCTGTCTGTCTGTCAGCCTGTCTGTCTGTCTGGGTGACGTGACAGCAGCAGCTCACCGGGCCGAGTCACTCCTGCTAATCTAAAGCCGATTAGGCTTCTTATCTGCTCAGTGCTGGTTATGTGCTTTGGGTCCAACAAAAATACTGTGCAGAGTTGGCCTTGTTACCATTCATACTGACTCCTCACAGCATTTCCCATCTGCTCTTTAAGCCGTGATGGCTTTTAATATCAAGGATTCACATTTGTCATAAGTGGAACTAGCAGAATATCTACATCTAAGTTCAGACACGATTTGATTTAAGTGAAACTTAAAATAAAATAAATAATGTATCAGTGCAGGTGATCAGAGACATCCCTCTCTCTCATACACACACGCACACTTAAATGGTGAGCATGTGAAGAGTCATCCCATGTCCATGTGAAAGCACTAATGCCATAATTGCTCTCATCCTGTTGAGTTCACTGGAACCCTGCAGGACTCACTGCATGCTCTGCCTTTCAGTCTACAGTCTTTACACCTAAAGGTCAAGATGAGGGAACTTCATCCTTTTACCATCAGACCAGATCTCTAAAATCCTTTATTTAAGTGCACGGTCCTACAGACACACACATACCCAGAAAAGATTCAGCTTAGTTACATAGTTTTTCTTACAAAAGTAAATTATTTATCCAATTCTACACTGTACAAAGACAACAACTCAGTCGTATACAAAAGTGTCATTATACCCCGATAACTTGGAGGACCTGGCCACTTCAGGCATAATGCTGCAGGGCCTGCTTTATCTGGCCCAAACATAAGGGTTGTGGGCCTAAAGTGGTCCATGTGTAAAATAACAAACCTAGCATAGCATACCTAGATATCTTAGAACAAAGATATTCTCATATTTGGTAGAGTATGTCCTATCAAATATTAGAACCCCTTGTCAGTGTCGCACTGGGATTTAGTTCAACGTGTCTCATTTTTGGGCGAGTTCTGTTTTTTCTCCTACCTTTGGCTGACATGACAGTGCTGTGGGCAGCCCGTGGCTTTATCCTACAACAGGAGCAGCCGCACCAAATGTGTGCCAAATAAAATCACAATATGAGCCTATTATAGGTCGGATGTGGGGTCACAAGTAATTTTGCTGTTAGGGTACAGAAGCAGAATGCACCAAGAATGGTCGGAGATGTTCTGCGACATCACCACTGTGGTCAGGAGCGGAGATTTAGCTGCCACATTCTGTCTTCACCTCCAAGTGCACACTGGAGGTGTTACTGCTGATTCTGTCTGGAGCTACACCGCTTCATTTTCCTTCTCCTGCCTTCCTCTTAGACTTTTAAAATAACACCCTTTTAAAATACAATGTAAATCCTTAATGGCAAGGACCAAATATATATAAATATATATCCAAACCTTTCCATGTGGTGTGTGAAGAAAACATTTTAACCTTTCCACTATGTGGAAATTGAAACTCAAGATAAGGTAATCTACTTACGATCCTCCTCTATTTGTCAGTAAAATGTGTAATTGATGCTAAATGTCCATTTGAAAGAAGTTCATAACAAAAAGTCCTTTGTAGTTATTGTCTAGCATGATGAATAGTAGAAAAAAAACAGAAAAAAAACATCAGGATCTCACAGGTTCCTTTCTTTGTTTGTAGGTGAGAGTGGAGTCACTTTGTACCAGAGCAGTTAGTTCAGCTCACTGTTGCTACTTCGGCTTCACCACCCTCCTCCACTTTAGTGCCTTTGCCCACAGCCTTCATTTTGGCCATGATGTCAGTGAAAGTCTCCTTCACTGTTTTCTCCAGGATCCAGCCCTCACTCTCGCTCTCTGGATCTTCTGGGTTGGCCAAACTGGACAGGGAACTGTGGACGTACTGTAGGCCTGCGGTCACTGCAACCTGCAAAAGAGAGAAAAAGCCAAGAGATTAAATCTGGTACTTCAGAGGTCACCATGTCATCGTCTGTTCAAACTCTTTATTTCACCACAACGTTAATAATACACTGTAATATGTTGTTAGAGCCTGAGAACGTATTATTAGTATGATGATTTTATGAAAAATATTATAATATTCATTCTGAACATATATATATATATATGTAATATATATATCTAAGTTTAGATTTATGGATTAAACAATGTAAACCTATATAAATATATATATGGTTTAGAAAACAAACCAGACTCTTGGCCTCATTTAACAAAAGGTCAGCAACTGTGGATGGACTGTAGATCAGGAGGTCAGAACCCAGGAAGTTGTCATGTCAGGGTAAACAGATTAGTCTTTGTTGAGTTGACTATCTGTGTCAGGACACAGACGATTGAATAACTCTTCCAAGCATCATTAGTATCTGGGGAAGGGTGATATCTGAGGGATGTCTACGTTACATAAATAGAACTTCTTAGTTCCTCGCTGCTGTTAACATATAACATAACATATGTTGGTAGCACAGGCTAAGAAGAGAGATTGTTTTTAGTGAAATCATGTCTTCTTTATGAGAACACATCACACACACAAACTTTACTTTCTCTCACTTTAGAAAGTCAGTTTCTGAACAGGGAACAGACTCACTGTCCCCCTGTCACTGCAGGGTTTCCTCCAAGTTCCACATACCACTAAATGTTTACCACTTTCCTGGCTGAAGGACAATCCCATTATGACTTGGCACAGTACAGTCACTTAGAGAGGATGCTATTAGTAAATCCTCTGTCTTTCTAAAACCCCAAAGTATTCTTTTTCTTAATTTTACAAAAACCAAAAGAAAGAAAAGGACCTTATTCTGTTTCGGCCTGAACTTCTTTTTACAAATGTACATCTTTGGTCATGAACAGGACAGTTGTTTCTGATGTGTGTGTTGCGATGTGTTTTATTAACTAAACAGTACGGTGTACACCTATGTTTAAACAAACTTTGTTCATAATTATGTGAATCTGACCTCTAGCATTGTGATCAGGATGACTAAGGCTCCGATGGTGTTCATCATGCCACCATAGTAGGACAGGAGTGCATCACGGCAGCCACGCTTCCAAACGTTGAGCTCCTCTGTGTAGTGGTCGTAGCTGTAATGTGCAGAGTTGTTGGTCATCTTATTCTGGATGCAGGGTCTGGGGGAGCTGGGATTACAGCAGCTGAATGGTACTCCATCCATCAGGTACTGGCCATCCACATTGCTTCCGATGCGGCTGAGAAGGTAAAATAGGTCAGGGACAAGTCACAATATATTATGGTATAATTAATACGTACAATAAGTATAATTTCCCAACAGTAATTAGCTAGAGCAAAAATGGTTGAACTAGCTCATTTTTTATTTCACAGCTACAGTTAGTAATCAATGCAAACAAAATGTTTGTTTTTCTGGGATGTATGACTGTTGATCAATGGGTAGAAAAGTGTGACTGCATGTCAAAAGTTCTAACTTAATTATTATATATTCTGATCACATCATTCCAGGTCATAATCATTTAATGAAAAGTGCTGTTCCTGAACTACTGCCAAATTCACTCTTAATTAGACAGGACAGGTTTTGAAGGACAAACACTGCAGTAATCCCCAAGATTAGGCTGCATTGATGTGCTACACACAAAACAATCTTTGTCACAGCAATTCTCAAAAATCAATTGCCTAAATCAATCCATCCATCAAATGAATCCACAGAGATGTCTCAGACCTCAGAGCTCAAAATTAACTTCACCACTAAAACCTGACTTAATCCATAAAACTGCAGAATAACCTCTGCTCCCCTTTGCCACTCTTTGCTGTCACCATTTCTGTGGCTGTAATCCTCAGTGGACGAAAGTGACACGAGCGCTGACCTACCTTCACCTCCAATCCACTTATACTGAACTTGAGCTCTACTTTAACAGCATCCATCTTCACACAGGAACAATGAAAACCTCTACCAGCCACAAATAAATAAACGTTTGCAAGATAGCGAGTAAAACTGAGTTTTTGTTCAATGTCACTTACTCTTTGACTGATTTAGCACTGAAGTCCAGGTACCGGTTGCTAATCCACTGAATCTCAAACCAATCCCTGTAGTTGTCATTCCCACAGCAGCGGAACTCAATTTGCATCAGATCCAGGGTCCTCTTCATATAGCAGCGCCCTGGGGTGTCCGTGTCTTTGTAGAACTTCATGCCATTCTTCAGACCCTCAGCTAGGGTGAACTGCAGAGGGATCCTCATCACAAAACACAGCAGAGCCACGAAAAGCAGCAACACATTAAAGACCACACAGAACACCAAGAAGCTCTTCAGTATGGGTTTCCACTTTATAAACTTGGTGGGATCCAGTGAATCATAGCAGATTTTGCCTCCAAAAGCATTAACGACACAGGCTATTAGGCCCATTAATATAAGCAGGTTGGGTAAGAAGTGGCTTTCGTTGTTGTCCATGAGTTCTGAACGCTTTCGAAGCTCGATTTTGAAAAACAGGCCCATGCTGAACAGCAGCACTCCAGCCATTACAGCAAACCAGTACATGAACCAGACAGTCTGAGCGAGCTTTACTCGCTTTTTCAGGTCAAACTTGACCACCATCAAAGCCATTGTGTACACAGAAATGTTTCTAATCTGTAAAGAATCAAGGAAGAGCTTCCTAAAGTTTGTCCGTAGTTACAACAAATGTACTTGATTCAGTGAAACTGCAGTCCTCACTTCCTTGTCTCCTCCTTATCTTCTCCAGCTGGTCCGACAGCACAGAAGAATCAGTTCAGGTGGTGATCCATCCTACACACAAAATCCAAAATGAACCAACCAAGCAGTTCCAAAAACAACAGTAAAATGTTATTTCTCTTTAGCTGTCTCTTTTGCCATTGCGACAATTGTTTTTAGAAAAATTCCAGTTTTCTCCTTGATGCACAGGTAAGGCTAATTATGGTGTTCCTTGCTCTGTCAGAGGATGGGGATTGCTGTGGTTCCTCATGACTGAAGTTACTGTACGTCATGCTAAGTTCCTGTAAGAAGCCCGATCCAATTACAGAAATCCTTCCACACAAGTAGAGCCTGGTCATAAGCCTCTGTCAGGGGGTATAATTGGTTTGAACAATCACATGGTCAAAGTAGCCTTGATGGAACACACTATGAGCTTTGCTGGCATCAACTAATGGCCAAAGAAGACGCCAAGGTAGTAAATGTTACTGCCCATTCACTGTTAAAGGACAACTCCTTTAACAGTGAATGGGCTGTAGCATTTACTACCTGGCTTTTAACAGACAGCATGTCTCCATATCAGGTTAATAAAACTTAAAGGAATGCAAAACAGTCAATTTAAATAAAAAAATAAAGCAAAAATAAATCCCAATTGAGTTGTGATCAATCGTGTGGTTGCAAAATTATTCAGTGTTAATGTAGTTAATAGCAGTAAAATATTGTTCAGCCTTCTGTTTGTTGCGTTTGCATTGGAGTTAGTACATTTTATTGACTAACAGAATTAGGCACTGATGTGAGCTGATCATAGTCAAGCCTTTGCAGTTGTCCTCATCATCCTGCTTGTGTCCTGTATTGGAATTTACAAAATGTTATACTGTTGTTTATTTCTCTCAATTAAAAACATACTTCTAGGTAAGTAAATCCTTATAAAAACCACCAGGTAAGTTGCTATACATTTTAAAATACAATGGAAATATAATTGAAGGCATGTAAATTAGACATGTACACCTTATAGAGTTATAGGTTAACTCATTTTGATTTTCCAAACAAGAAAACATTTAAATGTTATGCTTTATAACATACTCCTTATAGAGTGGATTTCAATGAACTTCAATGAGATCACTGGCAGCTTAGTGACTTTCAGGGGGCAGCAGTTGCCAAGATTTGTTTAAAACCCCTATTGTAAAGGGTCAAATGGGGATTTAAATGACATACGTTATAAAGGATTGAAAAGATACTGCAGATCTTTATTTTTAGTGATTTTAAACACAAGTACATGGCCATTTATACATTCACCACAGAAGTCTTGTATTTTACAGCCTTGGGAATTAACATTACAATGTTGTTAAAGCAAGCTTAATCTTTATACAGTAGATGTGTGTATTTATTTTATCCAGATAGGGCTAGATGGAGCACAGATAGACCTACAATATTTCCAGGGTGTAGCGCATGTTTTATTTGAAGAGTACATTTTAAGGGTCCCAGTTGGTTTTCCTGTCTGCTTCTGGGATGGTAGTCCAATTAGGAGAAGGTGTTCCTGCAGCCAGCCAATAAAAGTCATCCACTTGGTTCCAGTTGTTCGAGTCTTTGTTCAGTCCAGACACATTAAAGTCCTCTTCCAGTGTGGGATAAGACCAAGAAAATGGGGCAAAGCTCACTCCATGACAGTCTTCTATGATGGCTCGACTGGTGACGTGCAGATACACCTGTGTGTCTGTGGTGCTGTGGGTCCTCAGCTGCTGACAGGGAAAGCTCAGTGTGCTGTTCCTGCAATCATCTATGAATACGGAGGTGGCCACTGGCCCGCACAGGATCTCACATTTGTCTATGTGCTTCAGGTGCAGTGTGCTAGGGGAACCATACAAACGGACCTTACAGTTTGACAGATGACTTAACAGAACGTCACGTTTATTGATCTCCTCAGATGTTTTGGTCAGATACTGGTTGTCCATATTGGAGAAGCCGAACAGTTTAGAGGAAGAACCTCTGACCACCTCACCAAGATCAGCAGGTGGAGTGCAATAAGGTGGAGCTGAATCAGTCTCCTGCTCTGACACCTTATCTGCGACTTTAGTGCGAGCTCTAAAGGCGAACTTCTTCTTGGGGAGAGCCTTTTCTCTGATCTCTGCAAGTGAGCCCTGAAGCTTCTGGAGGGCACTTTGGGCTTGCCTCAGCTCATACTGCGTCAGGAACAACACGCTATCATTCAAAAACTTCTGGAGCTGAACGATTTTAATTGTAGCCTCCTCCAGTCTTTGGTTCACCACGCCTTGGTCCGCTCCGGAGCAGCCGGACAGCAGGTCTTCGATACACATCTGCTCCCTCTTAAACGTGCTGGAAAAATACTCAAGCTTTTCCTCGGCTACAGACTGGCTCTCCTTCTCTTCTTTCCTCCGCTCAACATCATCAATTCTCGCCTGATTCCGCTTCTGAAGTCTATCTTGAACCTTCGCAGCTCCGTTGTCACCGGCAGAATCAGTTTCTTCCCCGAATTCATGTGCAGGTTCCATCTTGCTACAGCTGACGTTTGTTGGCGGAAGTGATGAGTAACGGCTCTTCTTCTGCGGTTCGAAAAAGCAGCGTCATTTGAGAACAGCGCCGCCTACTGTGCCGGGGCTTTTACGAACGTGCCTTTTGTCAAAAATATTTGTGTAATAACGAAAATCAAAGGCGTTAGTTGAAACATTATTAACGGAAGCATCAAACGCAAGACCAACATGAATACCATGTCAAGTCAAACCAACTGATTACATATGTATGTATGTACTGTATGTATGTTTTAATTTTTAATTTTTATTTTAAAAAACAAAACAAAACACAAAAACTAATGTTAAAGTATTTTTACGAATTTTTATTTAAAAAACAAAACACAAAAACTAATGTTAAATTGTTTAAAATCCAAAAAGCAGGGATGTTGATATATTAGGTAAAATTTAATTATATAATAATTATTGTGCATAATATAATGTAGTATGCACAAGGGATTACATTTATAGAATAATAATATAGAATGTGATATTGTGGATATTAGCAGGGAGGATACACATGCATATTGCATACTGCATTCATGACAGGTGTAAAACGTTTTGAGCACTATTTGTACTTATCTGTTGGGATACAATGTATGTAATGTATGTAATGCAATTAAGTGTATAAAGTGTATTAAGTATATATATATAAGTGTATATATTAAGTATATAAACTCAGGCGATCATACCTGAGTAACAAATAGGTGTGGCACCTCTAAGACCCGCCCTCTACAGTAGGTGACTACTAATATTTATTTGTATAACAAAAAACTTAAACAAAACATGGCTGCGGTTATTGCCAATTTTAAAATACAATGTTGCTTGGTAATTACTAAAACCCATGTTTATATTTCCCATTCAAATTGATTGGGACGCCTGATAGCGGTGTGGACTGGGTGATGTGGGCTGCCGTGCTCTCTGCACTACCCCAACGACCCGTGCGGTGATGGCGAGGAAACCCCGTTGACAAGGCACTGCTTTTTCATGACGGTGAGTTTCCCTTTGAGTGTATTATAATTTTGTGATAAAAATTTCAAGGAAAAAACACACACAGCCTCCTTCCTCCCTTCCTTCAGGGAGGGTTGAGAGTTTGAGCGGAGAGAAAAATCTATCCGAGACAGAACAGGGACAGTGAGAAAAATATATGAGTGGGAGAGGGAAAAGGAGGAGGAGGAGAAGGAGGGGGGAGCAAATTAAAAGTTGCCAAATGGAGATATTGGGTTTCAAGCTGAGTGAGACTGGAGAAAAAGACATTGCTGCTTCTAGTCGTCGTTTATGTTATGCTAATCGGGACAAATTCTTGACGCTATTTCGACCTCTGGTATTTTTCATCGGTTCTCGTCGACGTTTTCCAAACAGGCGTCGCCGACATCGCGGCTAGCTAATCAAAAAGGCCGTCGTTTAACGACAAAATGTCGCTAAACGCAAAGCTCAGAATGCTGTTTGATCACAGCGTAGCGTTTTAGAAAAAAGCTGCCAACGATCGAGTCGCCCTTGGTAGACGTGTGTTTTTGTGTGTTGGCACTACGACTTACAGAGAACAAATGAAAGCTCAACTTAGAAAGTGCGTCAGCGAGCAGCAGCTAGACGATCTGGATAAAGAGAGTTTTGTGCCGCTTGAATGCGATTATCATTCTGTCGATTCAGTCTATTTTTGGACACAAAAACGACGAAATGGCTTATAAATGCTTGCTTACAGGCTTCGACCGATCTGCAGCAAAGTCTAGCTTAATTTTCACCGAGCTTCCATTCTACGGTGGAAAAAACAAAACTTCGATCTAAAATGTATACGCTGTGTTTGAACTAAGTGTTTTTATTTTTAACCATTGTATCTATTAATCAAAAAGTGCCATGCTTTGGGGAGCGTTCGACATTCCCTCTGGTTGTTAATGGTAAATTCTGAAAGTCTTGTAGTAAGAATTTAATACTAACGGTGCTGTACTTTAACCGTCACCCAGTATAAACACATCCGCATTACCAAAGGAATTGTTCAAGAACCCCCTTATTTTTTTTCCTGTTTTAAATCTGTGTGCATTAACGACCTTCCTATGTGGAACAACAGCGTTCGCCACACAGTATCAAGCCTTTCGTTTTAAACCAGCTCTTCTTCAACGCCTTTAACGTGTTTGGCGTGTTTTTGTGCGTTATTTAGCGTTATGTCGGTGTGTTTTCGTAATGAAATCACAGAACAGTCCGTGTCAGCTGCGTTTCTGTGGTCGTGAAGCCCTGACGGTCTTTGTTCTCTTTGAAACAAAGATGGAGGCTGAATGTTGTTCTGCTGTGAAGAACAACAGCCATTTTGTAGCATTGCAGCAAATATTTGCTCAAACTGAAACACTTTTCCCCCTTAACGTTGACAAAGTAAAAACACGACCCTGAAGCTCAAACTTCATTTAAATTGTACCCATGGCCACTGATGAAACTATGGTATATTTCTGCATATTAATCTTTTTGCAAAGAATAAACATGGAGAAAATAAGTACACAAACATTGCATACTCTTAGTCTACTGAATGGTATTAGTACAGTCACAGTTTGTGTTAAGCATGTTGCAGCCCCAACACAAAATAAAAAACCTAAATTTTCAGCACAGGGTTCAAACAACTGCTCGTGGCATTCATGAACCAGGGTGGAGTTTTACACTCGAAAAAGCCATATTTGCAGTGTGCAGACATGAAGACAACCAGTGTAGGACAGGAGAGGAGGATTATGGGTGGGAGTTTGTGTGTGTCTGTCACAGACTGGTATCTGTAGGAGGGAATGAAGGCCATCCTGTATGGGAGGTCTTTGTAACGAATTCTCTTTTCTGTGTTTCCAGGCAGTTTTGTTCTATCAAAATAAACATTTCACAAACAACCAGAGTGTTTTTATTTATCTAGAATAATGACAATGTTTTCATATATGTATATTGATTGAGTAAATTTTTATAGGAGTCTTGAATTAAATTAAGAACATTGCAAGGTGTATATACATTTCTGAAAATGTATTTTGACTATGCAGAATGTGAGTTAGATATGTCAACTTTTTTTTTACTGATTATTGATGCATATTTTAATGTTTAATTAGTTGAGTTTAATATTTCTTTAAGATGTAGTTGTAGATATACATAGCTAGTCAGCGAGTCAAAATGACACAGTGTCTAGAAAAATAAGGATATCAGTTTTGTACATGCCAGTCTCACTAACATACAGTACTTCACACACCGTATCTCATAGAATTTGTTTTTTTTTTAAACTTAATCTGGTTTTTCACCCTGCAGCCCAGCCTGCTACCAAAATAGAGGGTGTTCGATGATTGTATCCATGCTATCTGTTGGATATCTGTGAGTAAGATGGCCTTCCTGTCAGCACAAAACACATGAATAAAACTTTTTGGTCCATTATACAAATGGAACTACACTTCTAACCCATCTGCTACCTTCTTATGACAGTTCCTTTCATTCCTTCAGGTGTCATGGATGATGAGGACGATCGCCGTCTTCTTGATATATTAGGGTAAAAATTATATATAAGTTAGGCAGTATTACCAAGTATTTTAAGCTTTTACTTTTAAAACAAACTACAATTAACTGTAGGATTATTGTTTTCTTTTGTTGTCTTATGACAGTTTACTACTACATATTTACAATTTTCCAGCACACATTTTAATGGATGGTGGGGTAAGTTCTGTTTCCCTTACGCTTTTTTTTTTTCACCCTTTCAAGGGATGTGGACGCACTGAATGACTATCTCCATGGCAGCAACAGCAAGTCTGTGAGTAACCTACAGGACTCATTCAGAGTCCTTCTTTACACAGCTTGTTGAATGGAGGCTTTATTTATATGCATGCACATAGACCACCAAGCCTGCTTGTTTCATGTTTGTTTTATATCATTTAAACTGCAGATTGATGAAGATGATGTGACAAATGCAGCATATGGATCAGAGGGATCCTTCTTTGCCAGTGACACAGTGAGTATAAAAGACAGAGCTTTTTAAGTTAATGTAAGATTTCAGCTGCTGTTTTCAGTCTCCTTGATGTTGATAATCCTAAAATAAAATCATAACACTCTGACAGTAATGGTCAATGGTTTAAAGTTAAAATCATAAAAGCCCATAGTCAGGAAAACAATATTCTCATTGAGAAAAGGAACATCTGCAAGTACAATGCTGCGGATGGAAAAATTTATCGACTACAGCCAATCAATGTCCAGCCTGAATGCTCAGAGTGTGCATGTAGGTGCTACCTTCTTCTGCCATAGACATTGGCAATCTATATATTCTCAAGAAAAAAGGGAGACGGCGAAACAGTTTGCTGCTGTATGCAGAACTGGCCTCTTCTGTATCTTAAATAACTTGGATCATTCACTTTGTGCCAAATGTTCATCATTTTTTCCAAACATCTTAATTGCTCATTTAGATCTGAAATATTCTTTCTTAAATTTTAAGCACTTACAGAAAAGAATTCTGGAGAGAGTGAGATGGAAGTATCGGAAGTTGTTAAGAGATTCCATTCAGTTTTTCTTTATAAATCTCTCCATAGAGTGGCTCCAATACTGGACTCAAAGATGGTTCAATGGGTGGATTTGGCGACGATTCAGCCAGTGCAGGCCTCCAGCTTTCCAGCAGCCTTTCATTTATTGAGGATGAATTGGTGTCTGGAAACTCCCCTGGTGGTGTTGATCTCGGCGGTGAGGACCAGCCATTTGACATCCTGCAGAAGTCACTCTTGGAGGCTGATATTACGGAGCAGACACTGGTTCAGGAGGCCTTACTAGATGCCCAGCCTGCTCCCACACTAGTGCAAGCGCCTGTTCCTTTCTCCTCTCAGCTGGTCTCTGGGGGGTACGGCGGTGGGGTAGGTGTTGCAACAACGGCAACATCTGCATTGCCCACAAGTCAATTTCTGCAAGGGGTGTCACAATTGCCTAATGGCTCAACCCAGCACATCCAAGTGTTAGGCTCCTTTGGGACCAGTGGTGGAGTGATGACTCTAAGCAGCTTGGAGAGAACTCCTCAAATTGTGTTAAGGCCAGGGGCCCCTGTAGCTGCTGCAGGGGGCACAACGGGGAGCCAGGTGTTTGCTCCTACACAAGGACAAGTGGGCCAGGTTGGCTTACCTTTCAAAAACATCCCTGTCCAAAACATCATCATTCAGAGAGGCCCAGGAGGGGCCCAGACCCTTGTCAGACCAATCCAACCTAAACCCCTTCAAACCGGGGCTCACACTCTCTATAGCCTCGGCCTTCAGCCTACCTCCACCTCCATGACTAATGCAGGTAATGTTAACACCACTACTCCTGGAGGTCACTATACATCCAACGGCTCCATTGTAGTTCCTTCAGAGCAGCAACATGTGCAGGCGCAGACAAACATACAACCTGGACATTTCTTACTCCCGAGCTCACTGACATTGACACCAGGCACCAACATCCACAATGGCCCCACAGATTCAAACACAAACACAGTGCAAATTGTTTCAGGGCAAAACTTCACTGCAACCCCGAGAGGTCAGCTAATTTTGAACCAGGGAATGGTCAGAGGAACTCAGGTTGGTGCAAGTGTAACCCAGACGTGGACAGGAGTTTCCTCTTCAGGCTCTGCCCATGTGCAGACATCCTGTGCCCCTGGTAGACTGACTTTGGTCGGTCCTTCCACAACAGCTGTCATAGGCCAAAGCCAGGTGTCAGCAAGTCCGGTGCAGCGCCTTCTAGTCACTCAAAATCAGAACTGTGCATCACTCTCCCCACTCCCTGGAACAGTGACACAAGAACAAGACTTCAGACAGGTATGAACAGTGGTCACCTGAGGTTCTTGATTTTTAATAAATCTGCCTTCTGACTGACTGTAACAACTATTTTTCAGAACTCTGCATCACCTGCACTTCAACAGGTGCAGCTTGGCTCTATCCATGGTAACAATTCTTTTTTATAAGATGCAGTGTGTAATGCATCAGTATTTGCATTCAATAATTAATTGAAAATTCTTTTTTTTCTTTTTTTTTTACATCCATTAGCTGTGAAAACCATGTCTCAAGATCCCAACTCTCAGGTATCATATTTTGTATGTCCTTATGTGTTAATTTGTGTTTTCAACAGATAAAATATATTATCTTATTTATATTACCATGAATAACTTTTGTCTTGTAGAGGCTTGTAAAGATTTAAAATAAGTTAAATAGTAAATTAAATAAAGGATGAAATGTTTGTTGGAGCTTTCTAATAGTTTTAAGCAAGCTACCTGTTGGTGACTTTACTAACCACTATAGAGAGCCTGAAAGCATCTGTCGTTTAGCAAGTTTTTACTTTTTACTGCATTAGCAACAGTGAGCAGAAGCAGCTATAGCCCAACTATAGCCCTCAGATGAAAATATCTTCTCATTGCTCCATCAGCCTGTTGTATCAAAATTAGTACTCATCATTGAACAAGATTTTCTACAGAATGGCAGGTCTGTTGTTAATGAAATAACAGTTTGACAGTTACAGTGCTACATTAATTGTTTTTGTGGAAACTCTTAGGTCAGTGCGCTCAAGCGGCCTGCTCTTCAACCACTCACAAGAGATGGACTGTAAGTATTTTTAAAATCTTTTTAAATTAGGTATTTTATACTGTCCGTATTCAAGAAGACTTTTCTATAATTTCACCAGGTTTCTACATCAATTGGGGAAGGATCATGTTGGAGTTCAGACTCCCGATCGACGTCGGTTCACTTCAGTCAATGATGCGTTGCAAAGACTCGTCTCGTACCATGTGTTCCAGGGGGCACCACCTAGCAAGGAGGAATTCTCACAGGGTACTTACACCTGAGGCTTTATTTGCAACCAAGACAGGAATCTGACCCGTACATTTATGTTACATTGAAAAACTACTATATGTTTTTGTGTCATTCCAGTGGATGATGTGTTTGAGGCGGTTGCGACTCAGGTGCTGAAAAAGACAGAGGCAATGGTTAACAAGTACAGACGACTACTGCTGGTGGAAGCAGAGGTATGAGGGAACATGAAGGTATGAGTACGCTTGACTCTGTAACATAGTCTCAAAGGTCACTCTCCTTCCCCTGCAGCGTTCATTTCCATCATCAGAAATGGTGATGATTGACAGGACCTTCAACCAAGAGGAACGCAGCAACCTGACACAGGACAAACGCATGTTGCTAGTGGACCCGGGTAAGAACCAAACCAGGACCAGTCTTCATTTGGAGGAATAATATTCACATCTTTAATGTTTCTTCTTGGCATTTTCTTTTACAGACAGCTTTTTGGAAGACTTCTGCTGCGGGACAAAATCCAAACTTTTCCAAGTCCAGAACCCACCTCAGTCCAGCCAGAGTTTGACTCAGTTAGACAGGGACTCCAAAGAGCCAACATACAGGACAGACTCCCCACCAGACTGTGAAGACCCAGGAGGGGGCGAACTTTTAGGACCAGGTCCAGCCAATAAACTTTACTCGCAACACAACAAGAGCGTCCTTGAACTGAAGAGATCCCAGCAGCACTGTGGGCCCAGCGACAGCCACACTGCTGCCAACAGCTATCCTCAAGGTAACCCCTTGGTAGGACAGACACACTACCAGGGTTCTCATCACACGTCCTCACACCCAGTCCAGCCCCAGTGCCCACCTCAGCTCAGCTCACCCCCTCACCCAGACACAGACTCTGCTCTAGAGGCAGCAGTCAACAGCATCCTGGAATGTTAGTCCTGAGGAGCCTCACATCATCACCAAGTGTAATGTTTTGACATTTCTGTGTGTATAGTTGTATTTTGGCAAACATTTCTTTGTGATACCTGTTCCAAAACCCTTGTGTGAAGAGAGGTGAACACTTCTGTAAGTTCCCTGGACATTGTGATTATAATCTCTGGATATGTAGCAATTCTTTTTTTTTTATACAGATGTATATTTTGTTTTAATTTTGAAATGACGATGTAGGAGTTCAGATGAACACAGGCACTTAAAAAAAATCTATAAAGATCCGGGAATATGTGCAATTCAATCTAAGGATAAAAAGCATGTTATGTTAATTTGAGCATTGATGTACTGGGGCAGGGCCTGATGTAGCTTGGAAGTAAAAGCGTTCCTCTCTTCACACACATGCATACAGACACACGCCTTTAATATTTTGTGCCAGCTCATAACTGCTAATACCTATGCTGAAAAGAACAAGACACAAGTGGGGGAACAAAATGACTCAGTGCCTAAGTCTCGGTTTTCTTTTGAAGTTGTTTTTACAACGCTGTGTTCTGAACTCTGATTTCTTTTCCACATCACTAAACTATAGTGAAGATGCACATTGCTTTCATGTATTGCAGTGGGTTCTGTAGACGAACGGTTAAGAAGTGACAACTTTCTTTGGGACTAGCTCGGCAGCGAAACGTTCATGTAGACTAATTGCACTAATTGTACTTTTACAGGAACCGTACGACAATGAAGCTGTTGTACCTCTACAGTGTGCTCCAGGCTACACAGAATGTGAACATTTGTAATCAAACCAAATTTTTTTCAGCTGCCTGCAACAAAGATGAAGCCTTTTACATACACTAGACACCAAGACGCGTACATTTTTTTTACTCATGTGCGTAAGTCACATTTTCAGTTTTTTTTCTTCTCTTTTGTACCTTAAAGGTATGCAAGCCCAACACAGATGGAAGGAAAAACAAAATTTCCATTTCAACCACTTGTTGTTTTTGTGCTGCATGTCTGTCAGTAAGGGGCTAAATCCTCAGATTGAGGGAATTATGTTACAATTTGTTTATCTTTTTAGACTTTGTAGTTTTGTTTACAGTAACCTATCCCCAGACATTGCAAATGTCACACAAAATAGCTTGAAGGGTAATTTATTTTTTATTTTACATGTTGGCCTGCTTTCTACTTTTATGCTGATCATATCTGTCAATTTATGCTTCAAAACCTTGAGAAATCCCTTTTAAGGTGTGTGTCTGTACTGATAATGTACAATTACACGCATAGTTTCATGTTTGGCTGCCTAACAAAAAAACCTGGGCGTTATTCCCAGAGTTCTCTCACAGTTTGGGGATGTTATGTCTTTTCTTTATATTTCATTTCCCAAGCATTTCTAAGCACTCTCCTCAGCAGCACAACCAAAAATATGTAAAGTGTTCACATCCAGAATTATCCCTGAAAAATACTTAGTTACTATACTAGTTTTTAAGTTTACGTTTTACACCCCACATTTTACAAGGAATAATTGGCCATAAATGTTTTGTTGTGGTTTTACTCAGATCTGTGTATTTTGTTTTTTGTCAAGCCCCCCACCTAACAGAAGAGAAAACTCTGAAGAACCAATCTGGATTTTTTCCATCTTTTTCTTAAGTCTAAGAAGAATAATTGTATAAAGAACGCAAGCAAATTGGCGGTTTTCTATGTAGAGTGAATGAGAACACGTGTTTCTTTTCCTATGTGTATTAAAGTTCCTGTGGCCATTGCTGGATTGCTGCAAGATCCTGTGCCTCTGAAGCACTTCGTTTTAGACATTCGTGAACTGGGAAATGTCCAGTGTTGGTGGAACGCTGTTCCACTTGGATGCATATCAGTGTCTGAGGCCCTGGTAGAAGCAGACTGCTTTCCTACTCTATTTTCAATGCAAATTTGTTACGTTCTCTTTGCCTACATGTTTCACTGTTTTGTTGTACTTGATTTGTATAATTTGTTGTTTTGTACAAAAAGATAAAAAGTGAAACACAAATATTTATAATTTTGTATGGAGAAGAAACTGAATGTAAAAAATGACCAGTAAATGAAAAATAATTTTTTTATTGTGTTGAATAAGAGTCAACATCAGACAAGGAAATCGTTACAAATACTGTCAGTTCTTCATGTGTAGCTCATGCGTGTCCACTACAGCAACAAGGAGAGTTAATAAATTCATTTTGAATAATAACTAGTCCAGTGTGGCTTAGTGCATTGGCCCATGTCCCTACATTGCAATTCTGTGAGTGTTTTCTAACAGGCCTGTGAAAGAAGAGGCTTTTCAACAACTAACACATTTCCCCTCTTAACACAAACCAAGATATTCTCATAGGGAATGATTTAATACGGATTGTTTAGATTTTGTGTCTCTAAATGTATCACACGTATATTTTTGATTAAGTTTTTCTTCCTTTTAAGCTTTGAGCTAAGAATTCTGCCTAACACAATGACAAATCCTATTTAAACCCACCCCGACGGTGACCCCTAGTGGAGCTTTTGGCACACAACAAGACTGAATGAACCTTAGTTTATAGAAAACCAAGTTGATCCTTCATCTGAGAGTAATCAGCAGTTTAGTAATCATATCACACATACATAATCGCGTTTTAAAAGTCTGGGACACAACATATAAATCGCAAAAGAAGACCCAAATTAAGTTCTGTCACATTTCAATACCTAAGTTATGGGTTGAGATTTTTGGAAATGCTCAGTGTTATTTTATGGCGTAAACTTGGGAAAGATATTCAACACCACTCCCATTTTTGTCAGTTGTGTATTAAGTTGCAGTCCTCAGCTTAGCAATAAATGCTATAAACAGGAGGCACAGCTGTGTCTACCAGCAGCCTCTCCCCCACCCCCCAGTGCTCCTCTACAGTTGCACAGCACAGGATGTGTGTGTGTGTTTTTTTGTTTACATACATAAAAAGGCCCCTCCTGCCTCAGCTGTCCTTTCCATATACAGACACTTGTGTCCACAAATCCTCTCTGGGACCTCAGTGGTACTTTCTCCAGCGATCACGCTCTAGAGAAAAAAAAGGAGAAAAGAAAAATAAAATAAAATCACAAAATCTGTCTTTTCACTTGTGTAAACACAAAAGTAATACACCCTTACTTGTATGAGAATAGTTCCAGATGTAGCCGAGTACACAGTATCCTGCTAACAGCATGCCCAGTCCTCCTACTCCACCTTTCCTCACGTGAATGTACTTCCTGCAATACCAGTGCCAGCCTATGTCCGGGAAACAGGGGAGGTTGAATTCAAAAGATCAGTATCTTGTATAATATAGACTACATTTATAGACCACTTAAGCAATTACAGCAGATTAACTGTCTGATATTTTAAAAAGAGATTAACAACAGGTAATACACAGGTCAATATATCCTAAATAGAAATTATGATGTACGGGGTTAGCCATGACGACCTGATATTATTTGTTAAGTAAAACCACTCTATCCAGCATCAGCCCTGCTGACCATGTTGTTTGTGATGAGCAGTTACAGTCACTTTGTAACCTGCAATAAACACAATCACTCCAGTAAGCATTTTTGACTAATGGCAAGTATTTGTATTTGAGATGTACTAAACACATTTACCTTTTTGAACCATGTCCACTACACCTTTTGGATGACCAGGAACTCTGCAGGCAATCCACTCAGGTAACTCCCTCAGTCTAACGTGGCCAAGAAGCCGTTGTGTCCCAGCATCTACAGGTAATGAAATCAGCACAGATCAGGGGGTGGTCTGAAATTGTTTTTTTCTAATCTTTAAACTAAAGCTCTGCAAACTAAAAACTGACTGTAATGTATACAGTAAAACCATTTACTTGTATTAATAATGAGTAAAACTGACAGTTTTTATAACCACCTGGAAAAATGATGACTCCAGTTTGTAATCATACAGGCAGCGATCATCAAACATTCACATTAGACCAACTAAACAACAATCAACTACTTGTTCCAACAGTTATTTTCAATCTGAAAACCAATACCAAACCCTGTGTTTCTGTGCTTAGTACCTTCAGTCAGAATGTGAGCAGTGTTTGGTTTCCTATCCTGAAGTGCAGCTTTTTTCCATTCTGTCCTCAGTGATACAGTGTGTGAGGGAGGGGGACAAAGAGGAGGAGTGGAAATCTGATGGGCTGAAGTTGACAGTGACAGAAGATGTGTCTGGTTGCTCTTCAGCGCCTCAGTCATGATGCCTTTATTGGCAGCCAGGCTCAGCTGAATTGAGTTGGAGGAGAGAGGAGCTGTAGGAAAGGTCTGCTTGGACTGAGAGAAACTATTGTGCTGCAGAGGAATTAAAGACATACAACTATTTGTAACCAACTGCAGATCAGTCTGTTGTAATCTGGTGCACGGTAGGTGGTTGGACAGAGTTTGAACTTGATGCAGGCACTTGCCTGCATCTGTATTGTTCTCCACTGGAGTGGCCACTGAACCTAAACTGGAATCCAGGTGGGTTTTAATGCTTAGGTTGTCAGTGTTTTCGTTGTTGTTCAAGAAACTGCCTCTGCTGGACTTGGGGGTTGTTTTAGCTCGAGCTAACATTGCTTTAGCACCCTGGACTGTGATCCTGGCCTGACCAGTTGTTTCACTCTCAGTCAAATCTTTAGTTTCTGTTGTGATGTCCTTCCAGCAGGTGTCTCTTACACAGGTTTTTTTTGTACTTTTCTCTAATTCGGAATCCGGACAGTCAGATTTTGTGGGACGTGATTCAACAGCCTTCTTCGTCTTTGACGTTTTCTTCTTAGATGCACCTTTGGCTTTGCTATCTGTCGTCAACTTGTTTTTTTCTGAAATCATGTTGGTCCCAGTGGTCTGTGCTGTGGTCTTTGATCCTGAGTAAAGGTCTCCTGAGGCAGATGTGGTTTCTTGTGGCGTCACTTGGTGATGTGTTGCAGCTTGTTTTGCACCAAGATGACTCTTCTTTTTGGAGCCAGTGATAGATGGGGACAGAGAGGGGACTGTGGTTGAAGGTGGCAGTTGCTGAGTACTAGTCCTTACAATATGTTCAGACACTTTGTTTTTTTTATTTTGACACAGTGGTGACGGTAAAGAATAAGTGCTTGTGCGTGATGATGGAGCACTTGCAACTTTGGCGGCCACTGCTGGGGAGGGTGATTGAAGTGATACTGCAGAAACATTGCTTCTCTTCTTTGATTGTGAATGTAACGTCCCTGTCGCCAACTCAAAGGATGATGTCTGGTTAGACTTGACACATTGTTGGTTTGGAGTCGTTTGACTCTTTGCTGCTGCAAAAAAAAAACTAGTCCAGTGTGGCTTAGTGCATTGGCCCATGTCCCTACATTGCAATTCTGTGAGTGTTTTCTAACAGGCCTGTGAAAGAAGAGGCTTTTCAACAACTAACACATTTCCCCTCTTAACACAAACCAAGATATTCTCATAGGGAATGATTTAATACGGATTGTTTAGATTTTGTGTCTCTAAATGTATCACACGTATATTTTTGATTAAGTTTTTCTTCCTTTTAAGCTTTGAGCTAAGAATTCTGCCTAACACAATGACAAATCCTATTTAAACCCAACCCGACGGTGACCCCTAGTGGAGCTTTTGGCACACAACAAGACTGAATGAACCTTAGTTTATAGAAAACCAAGTTGATCCTTCATCTGAGAGTAATCAGCAGTTTAGTAATCATATCACACATACATAATCGCGTTTTAAAAGTCTGGGACACAACATATAAATCGCAAAAGAAGACCCAAATTAAGTTCTGTCACATTTCAATACCTAAGTTATGGGTTGAGATTTTTGGAAATGCTCAGTGTTATTTTATGGCGTAAACTTGGGAAAGATATTCAACACCACTCCCATTTTTGTCAGTTGTGTATTAAGTTGCAGTCCTCAGCTTAGCAATAAATGCTATAAACAGGAGGCACAGCTGTGTCTACCAGCAGCCTCTCCCCCACCCCCCAGTGCTCCTCTACAGTTGCACAGCACAGGATGTGTGTGTGTGTTTTTTTGTTTACATACATAAAAAGGCCCCTCCTGCCTCAGCTGTCCTTTCCATATACAGACACTTGTGTCCACAAATCCTCTCTGGGACCTCAGTGGTACTTTCTCCAGCGATCACGCTCTAGAGAAAAAAAAGGAGAAAAGAAAAATAAAATAAAATCACAAAATCTGTCTTTTCACTTGTGTAAACACAAAAGTAATACACCCTTACTTGTATGAGAATAGTTCCAGATGTAGCCGAGTACACAGTATCCTGCTAACAGCATGCCCAGTCCTCCTACTCCACCTTTCCTCACGTGAATGTACTTCCTGCAATACCAGTGCCAGCCTATGTCCGGGAAACAGGGGAGGTTGAATTCAAAAGATCAGTATCTTGTATAATATAGACTACATTTATAGACCACTTAAGCAATTACAGCAGATTAACTGTCTGATATTTTAAAAAGAGATTAACAACAGGTAATACACAGGTCAATATATCCTAAATAGAAATTATGATGTACGGGGTTAGCCATGACGACCTGATATTATTTGTTAAGTAAAACCACTCTATCCAGCATCAGCCCTGCTGACCATGTTGTTTGTGATGAGCAGTTACAGTCACTTTGTAACCTGCAATAAACACAATCACTCCAGTAAGCATTTTTGACTAATGGCAAGTATTTGTATTTGAGATGTACTAAACACATTTACCTTTTTGAACCATGTCCACTACACCTTTTGGATGACCAGGAACTCTGCAGGCAATCCACTCAGGTAACTCCCTCAGTCTAACGTGGCCAAGAAGCCGTTGTGTCCCAGCATCTACAGGTAATGAAATCAGCACAGATCAGGGGGTGGTCTGAAATTGTTTTTTTCTAATCTTTAAACTAAAGCTCTGCAAACTAAAAACTGACTGTAATGTATACAGTAAAACCATTTACTTGTATTAATAATGAGTAAAACTGACAGTTTTTATAACCACCTGGAAAAATGATGACTCCAGTTTGTAATCATACAGGCAGCGATCATCAAACATTCACATTAGACCAACTAAACAACAATCAACTACTTGTTCCAACAGTTATTTTCAATCTGAAAACCAATACCAAACCCTGTGTTTCTGTGCTTAGTACCTTCAGTCAGAATGTGAGCAGTGTTTGGTTTCCTATCCTGAAGTGCAGCTTTTTTCCATTCTGTCCTCAGTGATACAGTGTGTGAGGGAGGGGGACAAAGAGGAGGAGTGGAAATCTGATGGGCTGAAGTTGACAGTGACAGAAGATGTGTCTGGTTGCTCTTCAGCGCCTCAGTCATGATGCCTTTATTGGCAGCCAGGCTCAGCTGAATTGAGTTGGAGGAGAGAGGAGCTGTAGGAAAGGTCTGCTTGGACTGAGAGAAACTATTGTGCTGCAGAGGAATTAAAGACATACAACTATTTGTAACCAACTGCAGATCAGTCTGTTGTAATCTGGTGCACGGTAGGTGGTTGGACAGAGTTTGAAATTGATGCAGGCACTTGCCTGCATCTGTATTGTTCTCCACTGGAGTGGCCACTGAACCTAAACTGGAATCCAGGTGGGTTTTAATGCTTAGGTTGTCAGTGTTTTCGTTGTTGTTCAAGAAACTGCCTCTGCTGGACTTGGGGGTTGTTTTAGCTCGAGCTAACATTGCTTTAGCACCCTGGACTGTGATCCTGGCCTGACCAGTTGTTTCACTCTCAGTCAAATCTTTAGTTTCTGTTGTGATGTCCTTCCAGCAGGTGTCTCTTACACAGGTTTTTTTTGTACTTTTCTCTAATTCGGAATCCGGACAGTCAGATTTTGTGGGACGTGATTCAACAGCCTTCTTCGTCTTTGACGTTTTCTTCTTAGATGCACCTTTGGCTTTGCTATCTGTCGTCAACTTGTTTTTTTCTGAAATCATGTTGGTCCCAGTGGTCTGTGCTGTGGTCTTTGATCCTGAGTAAAGGTCTCCTGAGGCAGATGTGGTTTCTTGTGGCGTCACTTGGTGATGTGTTGCAGCTTGTTTTGCACCAAGATGACTCTTCTTTTTGGAGCCAGTGATAGATGGGGACAGAGAGGGGACTGTGGTTGAAGGTGGCAGTTGCTGAGTACTAGTCCTTACAATATGTTCAGACACTTTGTTTTTTTTATTTTGACACAGTGGTGACGGTAAAGAATAAGTGCTTGTGCGTGATGATGGAGCACTTGCAACTTTGGCGGCCACTGCTGGGGAGGGTGATTGAAGTGATACTGCAGAAACATTGCTTCTCTTCTTTGATTGTGAATGTAACGTCCCTGTCGCCAACTCAAAGGATGATGTCTGGTTAGACTTGACACATTGTTGGTTTGGAGTCGTTTGACTCTTTGCTGCTGCCTTGCAATATGGCAGGTGACTTTTTAATCTTTTGTATGTTTTTCCACAGAAAGGACACACCTCTAGTAGGACAAACAAAATAAGAGTGTGTCATTAGGTGGCGCAAAGGCAGGTGTGGATTTAAAAACAATGACATTTCCAAAAACCTACAAAAGTGTTATCAAATTGAATTACTACACAACAAAATTGACATTAATGGTATTTAGGGAAAAGTAAATGTTCTAATTACACATTCGCCTGTATATAAAATCATCCAAAGTGCACATGAAAACATGTAAACTATTTTCCCTCTGGGTGAGTTTGATGATTCTTACATTCATTGACGTCCGTTATTCAAATTACAAAAGTGTAGGAGATTACAGTAACAAACACTAAACACTTTGTACATTGAGGGCTAAGTGACACTAGTTGTTTTTTATTTAAATCCCAGATACTGCGTCATTAACTTACCGGAGCTCATTTTCAACTTGTGTATGAAACAGCCAAACTGAAAGTAGCATGTCCGTCCAAAGTCTCTGAGCGATTTGTTATTAAAGCAACTTAAATACAAAATAATTACAAAAACTACTACAATACAAATGCATGTTCGTTTGGTAAAAACGGTGTAAAAGTACGGTGATGTAAGTGGGACAGTACCACTGAATGTCACTGTAATCTGTTTGTCGCGTGGTGGGAAAGACCCCTTAGGTGGCGACTTAGAAGCCTGAGCGTAACTCAAACAATAACAAGAAATATATGTAAACAACAAATCAGGATTAAAAACGGGTGTAATTCGTAGACATGACGTATACTAAAGTACGACTGGTATATTTGAACAGCTATTGGACATGTAGTAAAAACACGTGTAAGTTTCTGTGGGTGTGGCGCATTGACACAATTTAAAATGATTCACTCCCGCGGCGCTTAAAAGTAAAAAAGACGTCATGTATCACGTTTGGATTTAACAAACCCTTAAGTTTGTTTGAAATAAACAAACACATACAAATAAACAAACACACACACTCACACATATATATACACACACATATATATGTACATATGCATATATATACATATGTGTATTTAAACGTAATAAACATGTTTGTTCAATTTAGACATTTGGTAGCATTTTTGAACAATGATAACTACTTTTTGTAATTTTTAAATGCTCTTGAATCATTATTAATCAGGAAAAGATCAAATAAAATATTTGCTATTTCATTGACCTTCTGACTAACGTACATTATGAAGTTTTGGGAATTACATACGCACAGTAACACAATTACCCATATGCTGCATGGTTCTATTAGAGGATGTACCCTGGAACTATTCCCTGCAATAGTTCCAGGGTACATCTTATGTAAGGCACATTACTTTTTATTGTAAATAACTTCGTTATCTGACCCACATTGGGGAAATTTCACTGACTTGTAATTTGGTGTGGCATTTGCGCTAGTGGGCGTATCCTATTAGTCTTCCAGGAGTTCTGCACATGATTTAACATGAATTATGAAATGTCCTGGCAAAAAGGAATTTCTTGAATTTTTATCAGATGTATCAGATATCATACACAAATTTCATTAGAAAAGTATTTATTGAGAGGGTTAGAGTGGTATGAGACTTGACACAGGAATGATTTTCAAAAAGGCAATGTAAAAGTTACACAAAAACACATCTACATGAAAAGCCATCTTCATTGAAAAAAGCAGTGATTTGAACACATTCAGTGGAAAACAGCCATTTCTACATCCATTTACATATAAGGAGATAAACCTAAATATTATTTACATGTCAACAGGTAACAGTATGTACAGACCATAGACAGGAAGCTCACTGAAGCACACAAGAGCATTACTTTTGACAGGAAAACTACAAGAAAGAATGCAGTGTTTTGGCAGAGAATCAGATTTTAGCAGTCCCTTAACAAAGATTGGCTTCTTACAATAGACTCTGATGAATTTCAATTCCAATCATAATATTTGTTTTACTGTCATTTACTTTTAAAAACCCCCACAAGATGGCATCTGCAACATGTCTGGAAAGACAACTCATCAGCAACCCAGAGATTCTCTTGCATCTCACTTCATCAATGGTGATTACAGTATAACCAGAGAATTTAAAGAAATTAAATATACATTTTAACAGACACTCAGTATTTAGGCAGACATGTGAGGTCTGTCCCTTTACCTGGCATCCAGTGGACAATGCATTTCTGGTCTTATATTGCAGTTCAGGGCCACTTAGTGAAGCGAACATCGCCTTGCTCACTTTAACCGAGTCTCACTGTGGTGCCACTCAAAATTATGTTATTCAGCTATTTTTCTAAAAATGACATCACTATTAACATCGGTTTGCATTTAACCCTGAGAAAATAGTGGACTGCTGCCACAACTGCCTGATGTGCCAACTGAAAACAATTAAAGAAAAAGGACAACTTGCCTTAGAGCACAGGCATCACTTCTGTAGGAAAGGAATTAGTCAAAAAGAAATCGGACTATGATTGCTTGTAAGACAATGTGGACCGGCACTAAATGCTGCGCCTTCTTCACAGAAATTGTGTGGCTGCTGGGGTTTGTGATATGATGTTAAATCTCTTACAGTTTCAACTCTTTCTCCATTTACAAATGTGATGTTTTCCAGGCAAAGCCTACTTTGCCTCTACATTTCATTCTGCAGATTATAACCCAAGCGAAATGGAATAAAGGACAGCATGGTGCTGCCAAACGGTTGCCTGAAAAAGCAACAAAGAGTTGAAGACTGAGCACCCAGCCTATTTCTTAAACCTTTATAGACAACAGGTAGATACACAAAGATGTTCACAAGGTTGCACTGGAGATGGCAAAGGAATTAATACAAATCTTTGACTCACAAGAATCAACACAAAGACTGGCTAAGTATCTCTGACACAGATAATCGTGGCTCATTTTTTTTACCGTCAATGTTGTGCTTTGTGGTCATTTCCTGTGGTGGCTGCTTAGAAAGTGGTTTACCTGCAATTTTGCTTTTTTGTTAAAACGTTTTGCTGGTTTCCAAAACCCAGAACATGCTGGTGATGGACTCAAAGTCTGTACTGTAAAGCAAATCCTAGATAAGCTGTTTCAAGACAAAGCAGCAGCAATCAGATGCCATCTACCATCCAAACCCTCAGTTTGTCATTTTACCTTTATCCACCACAGTCTCCTTTACTGACTCATTCCCTGACCAATCCCTGAAGGTGACTGACTTTTCAAAAGGAGTGTAAAAACTAAAATAAAAATGACTGAATAACGCTGACATCTACTGGATTCTTCTGAGACTGCTTCTCTCCTCCCAGAGTCCCCTTTGAAGATAGGAGGAACGGTTTGTCCCTATTCACGTTCTCTAGTTTCACAGGTGAACACAGGTCATTGAAGCATGAGTTGTTTGAGGTTGTCATGCAAGATGGTGTCCTTGACGTCTCGGAACACCAGCCTGATGTTCTCCGTGTTGATGGCTGTGGTGAAGTGGTGATACAGTGGCTTCTGGGTGGTGTCACGTCTCTTGGCCCGGAAGCATTCTACCATGAACGCCTGGATGTCAGGCAGACTGTGCTCTGGCCCATCGTAGTCAGGAAAGTAGTCCTTAAGTGGAACAATCTTCACCTTCTCTTCCAGCAGGTCAGTTTTGTTGAGGAAAAGGATGATGGAGACGTTAACAAAAACACGGTTGTTCACAATGGTCTCAAATATGTTAAGCGATTCACACAATCGATTGGTCTGCCTGTCCTCCATCAGCACCTGTCAGACAGGAGAAAGGTTAACACATGTTAAAATTGTTTTTGGTCCAAAAGAAAATGTTTTACAGTACAAGTGTACTGGATCAGCAGGTAGAGTGTCTTGTTGAACTAGAATGTCAGGGTATCAACAGGTCTGAACCAGCTTGTTTACATGCCATGTGTCCCTTCGCTAAACATTTAAGCCCCCTGAAAGTGTTTAAATGTACAACAAATGTGTAACATGGAAATGCCCATAAATGCACTGAACAAAAGAAGCCGGTTTGTAATTAGTTATAAATTCCTACAGCTGCTGTCAGCAAATTCTGTTAACTTGCTGTCTTTTGTTGTACTATACGTTCCTCCTGGGTTCCTGAACAGATGTTTTTTTTTTGAGTTTTTTTTTATCACTACACCTGACCTATTGCTAGTCCCTTTTGAACATACATTTTGTCAGAGGCATTTATGGAAATCCCCACACCAATTTGATCACAGCTACTGAAATTGAAACATCAAAAATGATCACCGACAACAGTGAACTTATATGCAGCTATCAGGGTTAGACTTATCAGAACTGAGGGTGGAGGCTGAAGATGTGGGGATTTACCTGATCGTATTCAGAGGAGGAGACTAGAAACAGGATGGAGGTGACCGAGTCAAAACACTCGAACCAGCGCCTCCGCTCTGACCTCTGCCCGCCTACATCCACCATCTTGAAGGGAACATTCTTAATTTCAAAGTCATACTCATGGATTCCTTTGGTGGGCTTACGGGCGAGCAGGATGTCCTGTTGACTGGGAATATAGTTCTGGAGAAGAGAGTGTTGATTATTGTTTATATAGTGATTAACAAATCAGATTAAGATTGTTTATGTCTATGAGTATGCACTCGTTTTGTCCTGTTTTTGTCAAAGAGCATATTTAGTCTGCCCACTCCTAACTGCAGGGGGCAGTAAAAACACAATCTTAATGCCTGTAAATGTAATTTAAATGTAATTCAACAATGTAAATAAATAAAAATATAAAATACATCTGTATTAAATAATACACTGTTTAAAAAAAGTGACAATTTTCCTGCATGGCACAGAGGTCAGCTAACAGTTGTCTGCATTGTCCTGCACCATCAACTATCTCAAACTGTGAGCTACCCGCCTGTATATCTGCTACAATGTTAATATGCACACGTCTTATGATCATAACAATCAGTACAGGGCTGAAAACAACTCACCAGCTCGCCAAGCTTATCCAGATTATCCAAGAAATGCTTCACGGACTCACCCTGTGACAGGACAGAGGGGGGATTTCTGTTAATTCTGTGCAATTTCATGATAGTGTTGGAGAGAATTCACTGAGCACACAGAATGATGAATTACAAACTTTTATCATTCACTATTACACACTTGTTTCTATTAAAGACACATATAAGATTGCAATATAATAAAAAAGAAGTTATTACAGATCTTAATTTAAGGATGTATTTTTAAAGTAAATTTGGTCTATTACAGGGAGCCATTCAAAAGAGCTGCCCTAGAGTCTCACTGTATGCTTCACTTTTACAAATAGATAATCAAAAGTAATCCTTACCTTACCTCCAATCATCACTCTGACTAGACGCTTAAATCTCAAAGTACTCAGTTAGTCAATGGAAACCTGTCAAATGCCCCCACAAGGACACAGTGTCCCCACAAGTATAGCTACACAGGAACACATGCAATTTGTTTTCTCTGTCAGAGCTGTCATAATACATCGCAGGATGTACTTTTTTGGTACTGTAGCAGACACGTGTGCAAAAACATTTCTTTGATCTATAAAGAACTTTGAATGTGTGTGTGTGTGTGTGTGTGTGAAAGAGAGAGAGAGATGTTTCTTCTAGGCCTTTCTGTCGCTCTATGTGCGCAATTATTGCAAGCTCAGACATGAGGCGGCTGGGGATGAGGTGCATTCCTTTAAGTGTGTCTGTGTGTGTGTGTCTGTTTGTGTGTGTGTTCCAGTCTTGTACTGAAGGCAGACCAACATCATATCCTGTGAGAAAATGTGAGGGTCATTTTTGTTGCCATCTATGTGACCAGCAGCGTCACCACACCCTGTCAACTCAGTGGATTTGCATGTATTTTGTATTAATGGCACAATAAACAAGGCCTCTGTCACACAATTCAAATCTTATCTGCAGCGAAGATTGTTTAGGCTAAGTTTCCATGTGTTTGTGCCATGTACTAGCCATTCCCTCACTGTAAGCTTCTGTGTTCACCTTTTGATCTCTTAAAAAAACTAATCTGACCTGAAAAACCTGTGAGTGTGTGTGTGTGTGTGTGTGTGAGCATCAGATATGTTTGTTAGGCTAAGATTACACAAGGGAGGAGCACAACGCTGTGTGTTGCTATGGTCAAGCCTCACAGAAAGATGAGTTACCTTTCTCCGTGGGGCTCAGTTTTAAATTCTACTCATAGTTCTCTTTTCAGCTGAGTCGAAGGCTCAAATCTGAGGCCGCTGGTGGTTTGGAATAAAAAAAAACAGATTGAAAAAAGAGAAGAGAAACTAGAGAAGCGCTTCTTTTTTCAGCATAATAATGTTGCTTAGGGTGGGGTAATATTGTCTAAAAGAAAACCCGAAGTCAGGTGACATCCACAATTGACAAATGTGGGATAATTAAACCAGGTTGCTTCCTGATCTGCAGTCTAAATAATTCAACCCTTATAGTTTCACCTAAAAATAATTAGGTTTAAAAATGCTATATTTTTAATGTATATAAATCAACCAATCAAATTATTAACATCACATTGTGTATCCATTTTAATGAGGCGCTTTATTTTGTAATTAGGTAAGATCCAATCAGTGTGTCCAGTTTCTGTCTGCATACATGTTAAATGACAAGCACAAGTGAGCCTGGAGGCACATGACATTTGTGGTGCAAACATACAGGGAGCTTGGTCAAAACACTGCTGCTATAGAAAAGAAATGTGTGAAAGCAATAGAAAAACCCCCCAAAAGAGACCACAGTCTTTTTAGCAGTTGGTGTTCACTGCTGTGAGTGACAGTTTATGAATCTGAGAGATGATGCCCACAGGTTTTAGATCTGACCCACATTTAGAAGAGATGGGGTGCTAGTGTTTACTGTATGTGCTGCGTGGCTTCAGTTGATGAGGCAGCAAACATGACAAAAAATGGAAACGATTTGAAACTTAGCTATCAATTGACTTAAACTTAGCAAAGCATGAAGGTAAAGGGTAAGTTGCAGAACCACGTGTACTCAGAGTGTGTCTCTGTGTAATTTGAGGTGTGTGACACTTCAAGTGTTTATGTGCAAATAACACCAAGTGGGAAAACCAGGGGTTTGTAAGCATAAAGCAGTTTAACTACAGATCAA